TGATTTTTATTTCGGCTTTAAGTGCAGCACACCCATGGGTAACCCGAGACCCAAGACATCGACACCAAGGGCAGGACTGGAGGGAAGCGTCGCGGTGTGTGTGGGTGGGTGCAGTGTTGGTGGCAGGGTGGCACGTGCGAGTTTTGAGCTCGCCTGCGAGAGATTCGCACATGTCTTCGACTAGGTCTCGGCCAGGAACAGGAACAGGAACTGAGAGTGGGACTAGGAGACTGGCTGGTGATATCATCAAGGTCAGTCGCACCGACGAGGCGCAGGCAACCTGAATAATACGCGCTAAATTGAGCGTCTCAGCGTTAACGATCCCCGGTGACGGCCGAAAGCCACTAAAACCCAAGTCCTGCACCGGACGTGGCCACGCGGCACTTGTTTAATGTTGGGGTTCCTGGCTCTCACCCTGCACAGCTCCTCCACCAGAGTCACCTCAATCGCCGCAGTCACCACATGCGGTGCCATGCAATAAAAAAAACTAAGCGCCGCCGGTGCCACAGTCTCCTCTGTGGGCTTCTCCGCTTTGCTCTGCTCGGTTCTCCTCTGTTGCCTGCTGTGTATATTTTGCGTTTTATTATGGTCTTCATATGGGTTATACGTAGGCAGCCTTCAGTCAACGTCTGACCCAGACCCAGCAGCTTGAAGTGCAGATCAGTATAACAGTTTATTGGTTCTGTTAAATATATTTAAAACATAATTTGAGGCAGAATAATTAATTTTTCATTTCAATTTCGCTTTTAAGTGCACTTTTAAAAGGATTCATCAGACAAACATTAAACCTTATGATTATTAATAAGCGTTGAGAAAACTTGGAAATTTTATTCACGCTTCCAGCTTCCTGTTTCTTCCGAGTTTTTAATTTTCGCCATCTTAAAGTAAGAATAGCCAAAAATATAATTCCGCTTCAGTTTGAGTCAGAGGCTGAAGTTCGTGTCATATTCTATGCGGCTCCTATGGTCGTGGTCGGGTCATTTGCTTGTCGTGTGGGGCCAGGACCCGGCTACGATTTGCGCCACGCCTGTGCATTTATTTTATAGTTTGGCTGGCGCCAGACATTCGCCTAATGGCGCTGAAGCCTGTGATCGGAGTCCCGCCACTTGCTGGCCGAAAAGGTCAAACGGTCAGTGTCAAAGTTGACGATGATTGTGGCCCCCATTAAAGCAGATGGTCATATTTTTCTGGGGGTTTAATGATTGTGCGGAAGTTTATTGGCCGGAAGGGAGCCCAGTGAAATGGCTTGGAAAAGATTAAACAATATGTGATGTGTTCTGCGAGATATTCGAATCTTCAGCCATTTCAACGTGCACAGTTTTCTCCTTGTGTATCGTAGATGTGTCCCCAGTACCCAGTCCCCCTAACAATATTAGCCAATAGTCCTTTAGGTATTCAGCTCATAATAGACACCTGTCTCTCACACCTCTGCCGTTTGGTATCAATTAAGCGTCGCCAACTGCCATCCGCCTGCCAGCCCTCTGCCTGCTCTCCAGCCTGCCTGCCACTACCCTCTTCAACCTACCAATTAAATTTATACACATTTATACATAGCCATATACGGATACGTGCTATACGTACTGGCGGTAGAACCTAGAGAAGGGTTTCCTTCTACTTGGTACTTCGTGTCACTCTCGTGAGAGTTCGTGTACAAAAAGGTCGACTCCATTAATAAATGCCAAGGAGACAGCTAAAGAGATCACAGGTATAATCATTGAATATTAATGAACAATTTTACATGAGAAGGTGACTTATGTTGCTATCCAAAAGATGTACAAAAAAGGAATGTTTAGCAAATGGAAATGGAGACGAATATTTAAAGAAAATTTCGAGCTATGTCGCTATAGCTATGGAACTTAGTTCTGGTGACTATATTCCTCAGACTTCAGCTAAAAACTGTGGAACTTGTAATTGAAACTTAAAATAATCGTGCGTGATGGAAAGTTAGCGCCCGGCGGTCATTTTGGTATTTGTATGTGCCACAGCACTCCCATCTCTAAAATACACGTACATATTTCCTGTGTATGTGGTAGAAACGACATTCACGACAAACATCAAAAAACCGTAAACCCCGTCCCGTCCCGTGCCGTCCCACCACTCAGCAATCACCCTCAACCCTCTGATGTCTCTCATCTTTGTTTTTGTTTCGTTTTGCCTTTGTGTTGTTTACCCTTTGGCTTTTACCGTTCGTTTTGTCGTTAGCCAAGTTTTTTAGCATTCGCCAAATTTTGAAAACAAAAGATGGCACGGGGAGGGAGAGAGAGATGGGCAGAGCGAGTTGAATGGGAGCAGCGTCGAGGTCGAGGAAGGCAGCCAAACCTTTATCGTTGTTGCTGGTTCCTCCTTTTGACCTTTGGCCAACGAATACTGACCCAGGCAGAGCCCAGAATGTTGGATGGTGACTGAGGACTAGTGTCGCCCGTTCGCTTTTCACTTGTTACTGGTGCTGGTGCTGGCGTTGGTCCTGGTCATGTCCTTGTCATCATCGTCAACACAAACGTTCTCGTGGCGCGGCGAAACTTTTGAAATTATAATTTAATTTGAATGTCATTAAAATTGTTCGCGCTTCTCTCGCCCTCACTCTCTCTCTGGGTCCCTGTCTGTCTGTCTTTGTCTGTTATCATATCCATGACACCATTGCTGAGGGGTCGCCAAATGGGGTATTCATGTGATTTCCATGGAACAGGAAAATAAACGAAAGCAGCAAAAGCTAAAAGCCACAAGAAAAACTATGAAATTTGTATACAGAAAATCTTTCCACAGCGTTAGCAGAATTTTAATTAAAAAATCAAATTATTTCAATTCAAAGTATTTTCAATATATCAATATTTTAATTTTTCCATGGTTCGATGCTCTTTGTGTATAGATAAAAACTGCAGAAATAGAGAACAAAACAAAAATGATAGCGAGAATGAATTTTGTCATTCTGAAAAAATTAATTCAGATTTTATTTATTTTTTGAGTTCGGAAAGAGCTGGCCATTTTTTATGCTGCTGCCCTGAATTAAGCTCTGGCAGCTCCATACAGTACTCATACTTTAGAAGCTTTTAGTTGCTCCTTGAGCCAACTTTGAAGCTGCAACTTTATGAAAACAGTTGCCAAGAAAAAATGTCCCGTGTCAGCTGAAACTAAGCGCTTGAATTGTGTGCTGGCAGCGGATATCATAAAATGAAATAAGACGAAGAAAAGAGCCTCGCCTATCTTTTGAACAAGTCCCACCATGTTCCCAGTACATTAAAAAAAAGGACTCGTTTTCATGGAAAGTTTTAGTATGAACTGCCAGCGGGCGGGGGTGGCGAAAACTGCTGCAGCCGCAAGAAATTAAGAAAATATTCACTTAGGTCCGGACAGGTCTTATCTGCACAGCACCAGGCGCTGTTGACAGAGGCTGGATGGGGATAAAATGGAGAAAAACTGGGCAAAGATTGCCACAGTTTACAGGGGAACTACAGTGGCGAAGAGTGCGGAGCAAAGCAGAAATGAAAATGCAAAGAACATGTAGAAAATTGAGCTAATTTAGTTGAAATGTGCAGGGTCGCAGGCCGGCCAGCGGGAATTAAATTGGCAGCCTGTAAGTCGCATTTCGGTGGCGTCTTAATGCCATTTTAATTGTGCCGCAAAATAACATTTAAATTACTGCAGCGCCCCTCTTTGGGGCTGAGACAGCGGCTGGCGAGCTGCTGCTGTTGCCGCTTAACATAAGGTGCATTTGGGCGCACGGAGGAGGTGTGGCAGTGGAGTTATTATACGGGCCCCGTCTAATGGGCCTGGCAGCATGCAAGGCTCTGGTACCTCTGCCTCGGGCAAGTCCAGGTCGCGGCTCAATTTTGGCGTCGGAAGTTGCTGCAACTGGCAGACTACACGACGCAGCAGCACGGAGCGCATCAAGGACATGGCCGGGTGAAAACTATTTGCTGCGGCAAATGTTTGTTCGTTCTTTTGTTTGTGTTTTCCATCAAACTGCAGCCTCCAATGTCAGCAGTACCATGCAGCTGGAATAGAGTGCGATATTTATAGAGCGGAGCACACAAAAACTTTGCCAGAAATTGCCATCAGCCAATGGCATGGTTCTGCCTAATTTGTGTGTGACAGTTAGTCAGTTGGCTTCTTCGAATGATATTTGATGAAAATATATATCAAAAGTTTGTCTGTTAGCTTTCCATTAGTAGTGCATACCATACAGTGAACACTCGAAAGAGAAACCCCCTTCAAAGTATGAACTTTCTAAGAAGTACATCAATTTATTATACCCTAGCAAAGGGATTTTATGGCGAAGAATTTCCGGTATCCGGTATACAAAAACTGCAATAAAAAGTTACCTTTGCGCTGTTGCTAATTAGTTGGCTTTGTTTATATGTATCTAAAGTTTACCTGGGAGTTCCAATTAAGCCAAGAGACCGACCCCTCAATTAACGATTGCTTGAATCGAGCTGTCGGGCAGGGGGTACATGTTTTGCAAAAATATATTTGCATAAATCGGTCAAGTGACTTTAATGACAGCACATATGAGAGATTATGTCTAACGACGTTTTAAAAAAGGGTTGAACGAGACGGCATAGCCTTAGAAAACGATATGCGACTCTCGAGAACAGATGCGAGATGTGAGTGGCCCCAATGTGCATGTGGGGCTGCTGGCTGTTTCCGAGTACGGCTGCTGGATGGAGGATGGGGGACAGCACTCGGAAACTTGTGAATGCTCTGTGCCTTTGCACATCTCTGCTGAAGTGGTAAACACACACACACACACACAGACACAAACACAGACATACGACCGACACAAATGCAAACACACTTAAATATTTTGTAGCATAGAAACGGGGGCAGCTCCAGAGAAGTCGTCAACTTGTGCTTCTGCGGTGACAGCAGCAGAAAAGTAGCAGCAGAAAAGCACCAGAAACAGAAATTAAACAAACCTCGGAGCACACCCTGGCAGGGCTGTACCAACTGGTAGGAAACTAAGACAAATATCCTAATGCCTGTCCTTTCTCTTCTATTTGCAGTTTAAACACAAAGAGGAGCAGAAAGCAGGAGACCACCAGACCACACCGGAACGAAACGGAAAGGGAAAGGGAAAGAAGGAGAAACCCGAGAAGAGCCAAGCCGAGCAGAGCTGAGGGCAGGCACAGGAAGCCAGCTGCAAAAGTGCAACAGCTGCACAAAGCCATACACCCCCGACACCCCTAAGGCTGTACAACTCCGCACTCGAAGAACTCAGTCGCCTGTTCCCAGACCCCAGTCCCAGTCCCGTGCCCAGTCCTAGGCCAGGCCCAAGGGAGACCGAGCAAACGGCTTTGGAAGAATGTTTAGTGCAAGACACATACGGCAGCTTCAAGTGGCAACTGTGGCAGCAGCAGCAGCACCAGCAGCAGCAGCAGCAAGCACAACCGGATAATAGTCCTTCGGCAATTGTAGTCCGTTCGCCGATGGTTGCTGGTAGTGCAGTAGTGCAGATGTAGCAGAGAGCAACAGTCGAGTCGCCAGCATTCAGAGGAATACCAAAACCAAATCCGCCAAATCCCAGCAACCGCAACTTAAACCGGAGACATAGACCGTAAGCTGCAATCGCTAAGCCGTAAGCCGTGAGCCGCAGACGTAATCAGAGCCAACTGCTAGCCGGAGCCCCAAAGCCATTTGCAGTGACGTCACAGCGTCAATTAGGACACCGCATCGCGCGAATTGCGCATCCGCTTCCGGCCCTGCCGCGCATCCGCGTCATGGCCGCCTCCCTTCAGCACAGCCTCCCCTATGCGCTGGCCGCGGCGCTGCTGATACTTTCGCTGCACCTGAACGGCGTCTGCGGCGTCATCGATCGCCTGGTGGTGCAGACATCGTCGGGTCCGGTGCGCGGCCGCTCGGTGACGGTGCAGGGGCGCGAGGTGCACGTCTATACGGGCATCCCCTACGCCAAGCCGCCAGTCGAGGACCTGCGCTTTCGCAAACCGGTACCGGCGGAGCCCTGGCACGGCGTCCTAGACGCCACTCGTCTATCTGCGACCTGCGTCCAAGAGCGGTAAGTCAGGGGGTGGTTTCGGGTGGGGTCGGGGGGGTCGGGTGGGGTCGGGTGGGGTCGGGTCGGGATTTGAGTTGCTGTTTGGTTTGCCAGGGTGTTCCACTTCTGCAGTTGACCCAGAAACAACAAATCGGAGCCCGGCTGCAGTTGCAGCACGCTGTTGACCTAACTGTTGCTAGTGACGTCATGCCCGCATGCAAAATGCCGGTCAAACAGAAGACGCCAGCCAGAGGGGTCGGGCTCCGCACCAAGTTTGCGCTGCAGCCTGCAATTGCATCGTGTTTGCACTTAATTATTTAAGGCCGACAAAGTCCTGGCTGGCATACAACTACTCTTCTGTCGGGCCGAATCGTTGTTGGGATCGGAAAACTGCTAGCACTAGAAGAAACCAGTTAATGGAATAGAAAAAGACAAGTTTGGTAAAGTAACAAGATTGCCATTGAAGTAGTTTCCAAGTGATCCAAGAGACCCAAGAGAGCAGCCGATGGACCGCCTCTGTGAGGACAGCTCTCAGTCGTCCCTCGGCACCATACGTGTGGACATACTTTAAATAAATTATTTGTGCAATGAGTTGATGCATTTGAAAGTTGAATAGAAAATTTGTGTGACTGTCAGGGAACTATTATTTAGGATTCTTTTTAGAGAAAAAGAAAAAGAATAATGTTGCAGCATGTTTTTGGGTATTATGCCACTAAATGTATTGTTAAGTTAGCGAAACAAGACCGCTCAGATTGGTGGCTTAATTTAGAATGTTTATTGAGTATCTTTTTGTTCTTAGCCTAGGGCACAATTGCTCTACATACATTATATACCGCCGAGTATTGCGCGTGGTCTCTGCCTGAGTCTAATGGAAATGCATGATCAGCATCAAGGGGCTTTTGAGAGGGAGACCCATGGCCTCAGTGTTAGGGCGTTTGGGTTCTGCTTGAGTTTGAGTGAATGCCTGATCAGCAGTTTTGGTAGCTGACCGATCGTTGCTGTGGAAAGGGAATGTGTAACATAAACCTTAGTTGTTTATGTCACTGCGAATATGTACGCGCTTATATATTTATTTATCTATATATACACAGAATGCTAAATATGTACATGCATGGGTTCACTACAGTATTATACATTTATGACACAGATTTGTGCTTCTGCCTCTAGTACCTTGGAACTGTATGCCACATTAAATGATATTCAAATCTACTTCTGTCTGGTTTCAGACTTCTGTCTGGTTTCAAACCAAAACCGACAGGTTAATCTGATTAGTAGCTATAAAAATCAGTTAGAAATCAAAATACATTTATTTGCTAAACCAATTTGCTGATCGAAGTGAATTATTTGCATGCCAACTAAACAATAAATAGCCAAACATTATTTAGGTTGTGTGAAATAACCCAAACTGTTTGCAGATATATTTCGGCAACGTTTAATGCACTTTAATATTAACTCATGAATTGAATTTATGAACGACATTATGTACATATGTTATTCGTTATTTTCCATTGTCCGGAATGCATGTTGCAATTAGCAACTATAAATAATTAATATACTGGCATTGGTAGGGTTTTTGGATGGATATAATTGGGGTGTCCTTCTGCCCTGGGGAACATCTTCATGTTTCGGGCTGCCTCTTTGAATCAGTCCGGTTTGGCAGGTCCCATTTCTGCTCCTGAAATATAGGGCTGTAATTGGCTGTAACATTGCCACACACACACACACCCTAATGGATAGTCATCAATGTGTGTGTGTGTGTGGCAAAAGGAAATTAGAAAAATATAGAGATAAAGGCAGGGGCAGGAGGAAGCGGCGAGCGGAATCGCCTCTTTCACTCTACGTCTGTGATAAATTACTTTTATGCGAAACGGCAAAGTTAATTTTAATGGACACGAAGCCAAACACACCTACCCATGCACACATACGAGCACATCACAGATGTATGTACATACATGTGTACGGGTGTGTGTATCGTCTGTTTGTGTGTAAGTATCTGCACAAAGGTATCCATAGAAACGGACAGACAAATGCTGAGCTTTGTACGAATGCGTAGAGATATCGATTCGAGGTATTCAACATTTATAAGGCGGAAAAACTATGTCAAATTGTAGGCCCGGCCCGGTAACAGGACCGGGGGGGCGGGGCGGGAAACGATGGGAGGTAAAACGAGAAGAACGGAAGAGAGCAAATACTCGTAAAATAAATAACACAGCTGGTTAGCTTTTCGTAATTGGCGTGACCGAAATTCCAGATAGAGGGGAGAGTGTAGGAGAGCCGGGCTTTGATTTGCATATGGGTCAGTCACTAATCAAGAGAACCTTCCTCTGCCTCTGTTCTTCCACCCACAGCTACGAATACTTTCCGGGCTTCTCCGGCGAGGAGATCTGGAACCCCAACACAAATGTATCCGAGGATTGCCTGTACATCAACGTTTGGGCGCCGGCCAAGGCGCGTCTACGCCACGGAAGAGGCGCCAATGGTGCCGAGGTGAGTGGTTCGACTTCTCCCACAGAATAACTTTGAACATGGTGATTACTGCCCACAGCACTCGGGCGCCAAGCCGGTGGACACGGACCACCTCATCCACAATGGCAACCCCCAGAACACGACCAATGGATTGCCCATTCTGATCTGGATCTACGGCGGCGGGTTCATGACCGGCTCGGCCACCCTGGAGATATACAATGCGGATATCATGGCGGCCGTGGGGAATGTGATAGTGGCGTCCTTCCAGTATCGAGTGGGGGCCTTTGGGTTTCTGCATCTGGCGCCAGAAATGCCGGCAGACTTTGCCGAGGAGGCACCCGGCAATGTGGGGCTCTGGGACCAGGCGCTGGCCATCCGCTGGCTGAAGGACAATGCGCACGCCTTTGGCGGCAATCCCGAATGGATGACCCTGTTCGGTGAGTCGGCGGGCTCCAGTTCGGTGAACGCCCAACTGATGTCGCCCGTGACGCGGGGCGTGGTCAAGCGGGGCATGATGCAGTCGGGCACCATGAACGCGCCCTGGAGCCACATGACCTCCGAGAAGGCCGTGGAGATCGGCAAGGCGCTGATCAACGACTGCAACTGCAATGCCTCCATGCTGAAGGTGAGTTGTGAGCCGCTCATTTCCGTATTTCCGTATTAGATTGGTGAACCTGTGCTCTGCTCTGCTCTCTTCTCTGCCCCTCCGCAGACCAATCCCGCTCACGTGATGAGCTGCATGCGTGGCGTGGACGCCAAGACAATTTCGGTGCAGCAATGGAACTCGTACTCCGGCATCCTCAGCTTCCCATCGGCTCCAACCATAGACGGGGCCTTCCTGCCCGCTGATCCCATGACCCTGATGAAGACGGCGGATCTCAAGGACTATGACATACTAATGGGAAATGTCAGGGATGAGGGTAAGTCTCACTCTCCACTCATTGCATATGCCCCCTGCCCCTGCCCCTGGGCCACCATCTCTCGCGGGATGGCTAAAGACTTGCTTCAATTTCCCCTTTGGCCGCGACTTCATCAAGAGCAGCTCTTGTTCAGCAGCAGCCCTTCCATCTTTTCCGCCCCCCTCCATCACTCTCCCACTCTTCCCACTCTTTATTGTTCATCTATCTATCTGTGGCGCTGTTATCCTTGCGTCCATTGTTGCATCCTCTGCGGCTGACGTCAGCGCTAAACTTTATCCGAAACAAAGTACTACTACCCATTGCCAATGTTGTTTGCCAAGCTCTCTGTTAGTACCCCGTTCCGTCCCGTCTCTGCCCCTGCCCCTGCCCGATGCAAACTTTTTGCTGCAGCTCGCTCTTCATCTTTTTTTGTGATTTTATTACTTTTACTGCAAACTGCTCGTGCACTGGCATTATACTCGTACATATCCATTTTCTGGTGCACAATAGTTGTTGCCTGGATGCCAGACAAAATGCATTTTATTCTTGTCGTTTTATGGGTTGCCATGGCTACCCTCGCACCCGCACCCCGCCACCCCCCAACCAAAGAGTGGTGCGGCTTAGCCCGGGCTGCTTTTGAGCAGAGTACACCGTAGCTCGTAATGCATTTGGTGCTTTCTGTTGGCTCGAGTGCTTAATTTTTATGGTTTATTGCATGACACTGTGGTGGCGCTTGGTTGGCTGGTTGGCTGGCTGGTTGGATGGCTGGTTGGGTGCTGGCGTGGGACATTGTGCTTGTGATGCTGCTCTGCTCCCTGCTCCTGTCACAAAACTGCACTTTGTATAATGTTCTGCACTGCTGGCTCTTCTGGCTTTGGGCAATGGCAATGGCTGTGGCTCTAGCTCCGGCTCTGACTGTGGCTCTTGCGGCTTTTGTCTCCGCAAACGAATTACACAAACTTTAAACTCCGATTGCGGTGCGTGTCAACGCTCCGCAGAGTCGTCGTTGGTCGTATGTCTCAATATCGTACATACATACACACGGAGCAGAAACAGAAACAGACCCAGACCCAGACCCGCCGGGAGCCAAACTCGCCAGACTCGCCCACGCAAATGGCGGTGTCCCCGGGAAAAAAAAATAAATAGAATAGAGAAACAAAAATCGAGCAACGCACGCACAAACCCACTCGGACACAGATACACACACACACACACACACAAGCCGGGAGTCGGGAGTCAGGCATGCGGTTCGTTGGTGGGCGGGAGGAGGGCGCTCAGCTGTGCAGGACGGCATCATAAATTATTTAAATATATTTCGTTCAGGTGACAGGGGGCCAAGCCGGGGGCTGGTGGCAAGCAGAAAGCAGCAGGTAGCAGGTAGCAAAGAGCGAGCCCTCATCTTGATGGGCGGAACGGGACGCGTGAGTGCCACACGTGCCGCAGCATTGTCGTACAGCGAGGAGCGGGGCTACGTCCATGGCCTTATTATTAAGGGGTTGCCCCAAAGTGGCAGGGTGGCAGGGTGGCAGGGTATTATTCCAACCAGACTTAAAGTTTGGCCGTAATTATTTTACCCTTGCAGAAGAGTTGCCAATTTAGCGCAGAAGTTTCAAACGCAGGAAAGGAAATATTTACCGACCCCCCCCACCCAACACAAAGTAATAAACTATTGCAGTATACTTTTAACCTGTTTACATGCATAATATTTCACAATATTTAAGGCATTTAGCTGCAGGCAGCATTACGCTTTAAAGAATGGAATATTCAAGTTCGTAAGGCTGTCGTAGGAATTATTGGCGAATAGTCCGGGTCGGTCTGTAATATGTATGTTCCATCGAATTCTCTTTGGCACTTTAACTATCTATTTTGGATTGTAACGAGCCTGTTTAGATAGCCCCGATCGATAGCTAGTCGGAGAGTCGAGAGATAACCAGGCAGAAATGGCTTCAACTGAGCTTAGTTTAAAGTAAATGTTAGATAAAGTTTAGTATTAGTATTGTCTGTTTTCGCTTCCCTTTTTCGCCCTCCTCCTGACGGGTGCGTAACTCTTTGTGGGCTGCTGCTACTTTCCTTCCCAGGTCGGAAAAATGGCGCACTTGGCAGAACTTTTTGGTTTGCGTTTTCCTTTCTTATTATTTCGCGAGCCACCGCAGGACGAGGTATGTGTGTGTGTGTGTTGCTTTTGTTATTCTCGTATAAAAGATTGAAGAAGATTCTCGGGGCTTTTGTGCCGTTGCTTTACTTCGTGCTTTTGCTTGTGGGACCCTCCCCCATCACGCTTTCGATTTCTTGTTGCCGTCGCCGTCGCCGTCTTGCCAGCAGGCACGTGTGCTTTCTGCTCACTTTCACTCATTGCTCACAGCTGCTGATATTGCCCTCTCGTTTCTATGCACTCTCTCCTCTCTGTCTTTCCTTCTCGTTCTCTGTCGTTCTCTGTTTCTTCTCTCTTTCTGCCTCCATTTTTATTATTCGTAGTCAGCAGTGTGGCCTCGTTGCCTGTTTCTCCGCTGTTCTCTTGGCCAAGGTGTGCGTGCCCGCCAGGCGACTGCCACCACGATGAGGGATACGATACCGTGCCTGCTTGGCCTGCTATGCGCTAGTGTTTGTGCGAGTGTGTGTGTGCTGCTGCTTGCCCATGTATGTGTGTATGTGTTTGTGTGTGTGTTTGGTTTGGGAGTGTTTGTGAGTTCAAGGTCATCTAGCATTTGCAACAATACGAATACAAACTCAAATACATTGCGCTGTGCCGCGCACATGAAAGCATCCTTTTCTGTTTGTGTTTGACAAATTCGGTTGCTCTCCCTTCGTCCGTCCCTTCGTCCCTTCACATTTACTTCCACTTGCACGTGTATGTGTGTGTGTATGTCTGTGGTGTGTATGTCCTTAATTTTTATTCTAAATAAAATATTAGCTTAGCAAAATTTACGAGTATTGGCCTGCAAGTGGTACGAAACTTCGTGATGGAAGCGAAATCTAGTCCTTGAAAAATGGTAGTAAATCAACCAAGCCCATTTTATAGTTAACTAAGCAACTTACTAAATTCTAAGTATGGGCAGAGATGAGAGTTAATCAGGCCTTAATACAGAACAATTTTTTGTTTAGTGTTTAGTTTAAAAGTTTCACCTGCACTGTTTTGTTTTACTGGAGAACAATTTGTATTTTTATTTATTTATTTATTTTTATATGTTCAATTTATTTATATATGTATACAAAGCCAAAGCACGTTTACAAGCTGATTCGCAATACCTTAAAAATGCAATTGCTGCTTTTTCAAAAGAAAACAAGTCTCTTTTATTTAGGTGACACTTTAAAATTGATTGAATTAAAAGTTTGGGTTCCAAATCAAGCAATTTCCTCGCATTTGCCGCTCCATCAAGCTTCGTTGCAGGTCGGCGATTTGTTGTTGTTTAAAACATCTAAATTTGGTTGCTTCTTCTTATGCTTGTTGACTCCTTGCTTGCTGCTTGGTTGTGTGAATGTCTCTCTGCAAGCCATGGCTTGTTTGCCTTTTAATTGCTTCGCGTTCCGGGGCGGCCTACTTACCGCTGGCTCCACAGTCAACACAGCTGCTTCGGGCCTGGCCATTACTGTGCTCCATCGAATCAGCTCGATGTTTCCGTTTCCGTTCCTGCTGGTGCTGCTAACTCAATTATATACTCATTAAAAGCATATTTACATGGGTCTGTGTGTGTGTGTATTCGTGTGCGCGCTCGTTTGAGAAGAGAGAGAGAGGGAGAGAGATAGCCGCAAAAAGCCGAAAAATTTGTGGCCACAGAGTGTGTGTTTTTGGCAATTTAATTAAAACCGTAAGCTTGATACCACGCAATATACGGAGAAGTACAGCAGTTCGTGGGCAACAGTTTATCGCTCTATGTTGCCTTTAGTAATCATTTAATTGAGCCTTAAATTGTAGTTACGTTTTAATTGTATTTCAAGCACTTGCCAACTGTCAGCTGGAAGCGGAAAACCTTTCCATGCTTTATTTAAGCCTCAGGGTTTTGCTATTGGCTCTGCAAATAATCCCGACTGATATTTGAATTTAAAAATCGTTTCTCGAGAAACTAGTGCACACAGGGATATCATTTTTGACGTGACTTGGGTATATTTTGTGTCAGATTTAGCTTAATGCTCAAGTTCATGGCTTTGCATAATTTTTGGGATTTATTTGAATCTCAGCAAACATCAACATATTGAGCCAGCAAAACGATTCGGGAATGGGTAGCCCCAGTCCCCAGTTCTCACAGATGTAAACACACACACACACACACACGTGTTTATCCTTATGGATTCTGCTGCTGCTGCTGTTGTTGTTGGTGTCGCCAGTTCTTTGGCTGTTTGCAGCATGAACGAGGTATTGTGGGAGGCGGCAATTATGGTTCGTTAGTGTGTTCGTATTTGAAGTGTGCCACAAAGACAAGGCCTGACGACAGCAGCAACAACAACGACAACAAGTGCCATAAAAATTAAGTTAATAAAAGGCAGCAAGGAGCCGCTTTGTTCTCGCCCCGGCTGCGGTCCTGGCTAGTTTTCTATTAGTGTTTCCCTGAGTGTGTGTGTGTGTGTGTGTGTGTGTGTGTGTGTGTGTGTGTGTGTGTGAGTGTTTGCCTATTCTATTTTCCTCTTGTTTTTACTCTGTTTTTTCCATACTCGTACTTCTCCCCATCCCCATCCCGCCGCCTCTTGTGCAGCGGTTGTGATTGCTGTTGTTGCTGCTGGCAGGTCGTGGGGTTAATGCTGCTCTCAACGTCCTTGGCACGACCCGTCTATTGTGAGTCGGAATCTTGAAGCGCCGCCCTCAGCGGCCTGCAGTGGTAATTGTTTTTTAGGATTTGCCAGCAGACCCTCATCGAGCTCCAGTGGCAGTAACAGTGCCACCCCACCCCACCCCACCACAGGCCGCACATTGTGGTGGCATGACCTCGCTTTGCTTTGCTCACTGGCATCCCATTCCGTTCTGTCGTTGCAGGTACCTACTTCTTGCTGTACGATTTCATCGATTACTTCGATAAGGACGATGCCACCGCCCTGCCCCGCGACAAGTATCTGGAGATAATGAACAACATTTTCGGCAAGGCAACGCAGGCGGAGCGCGAGGCCATCATATTCCAGGTAAGAGCGCGTGACGCAAAATACATTGCAGCACCTATGAATGGCCGACCGGATTGGAGGCAGTCACCTGCACCTGCACCTGACAACAGCATTCACCAATTCGAACGCACATTCCAATTCATATGCAAATCGGAGGGAACGCGGCTCTGATGACGACTGCAGGCTCTGTCGCATTTTGCGACACGCGCCTGCCACATGCTGCTGTTGCTGCATAGAACGTCAGCAACGATGGCAGCCTGATTGAATTGCATTCAGGGGCTTTATTCGGTTATTTTGCGTCACTTGTGGACATGGACTTGACAGCTGGGGCCTCACAGCATTAGAATCAAGGATTAGCAGCCCCGCAGGAGCGCAGTTAGTCGAGATTAATCGAGCGGAAGTCGACTAAACTGACAGCTAACTTAATTCCCATGATTGAGTTGGGGGCCACCGTCTCCGTCCCCATCCCCATCCCCATCCCTATTTTAGCTGCATTGTAACCTCTCTCCTCTCTCTGTTCACTCTCTGTTCACAGTACACCAGCTGGGAGGGCAATCCGGGCTATCAGAACCAGAACCAAATCGGACGCGCCGTGGGCGATCACTTCTTCACCTGCCCCACCAACGCGTATGCCCAGGCGCTAGCCGAGCGAGGCGCCTCCGTGCACTACTACTATTTTACACATGTAAGTAATGGGGCTCTGAATGGGGGTTAATGGCATATATTGATTTTCAGCACCAGAGAAATAATTTGCTTGGCTTTATTTTAGTTAAATTGGTTTATAATTAATGGGACACATAGTTAAAATATTACATGGTAGAAAGATTATACTTTGACGATGCAAACTGCACTGCACAGTGGCACTGCACTTGCATTGCAGTACACTCGTCTTTTTGTCGTTCGCTTCCCACCGTAGGCCGCCGACAAATCATTAAATATTTCTCAGGTTCCGACACGTAAGATGGCGTTGAATCGAAATGCGGTCAAATGGGGCGCAAGTGGCGCGAAAGCAAAAATGCACGCGAGAGCGGAGGAAGCGGCAACGAAATGCTGGCAACTGCAATTTGTTTGTCATTAAAATTTCACACAAGGCTAATGGCGGCCAGAGACCAACCAACGGGTCGGTGCGGAATCCTCCTGCAGCAGATACTCGTACAGTGCCTGCCGCAGTTGACTACGCAGTGGCAGAGTCAGAGGCGACAGCGGAAAATGTCGACGTGACTGTGTCTGCCTTAATTATTAATGTCGGGGCTGATGGGCAGGCTATGCCGGGATTCTGAGTGGCGCACAGGCCTGTGTGCGCCGGGGGCCACGTAAAAGCAGAGCTTGCGGCTAATCTGCAGAACAGAAAGCGAAAGTTTTCTAGCCGGAATGGGGTCAGGTGCATGTCACAGTTGAGTGTGAGCCCCTGCTAAGAATAGCTCGAGCATAGAACACAATCAGTGTTATTTATGGCCCCCATAATTATTGTAAATTATTTGCGCAAAAGTTCTGGAACCTTTGCCAGGGAAGGTTAAAGTCCAACTTTAAAGGTTGATTTATTCACGCAACTTTTGATTCGCATTTAAGTAAAGTAAACTGTTGGCTTCCTACTCGTAGTTGTAAAACTATCAGAGGCAGACAGAAAAACTGTCAATGTACGAGTTTGAGCAGCAATAATTGCCATAGATTCAAAGTTTATTTTCTCTAAAAGTCTAGGGCTTCAGAAGTCTCTTTTCCAGATAAGGAATCTCCCAGAAAACCTTTGATTTTCACATAATAAAATATTAATGTCTCATAAATTAATATTGCGTGGCTTGTACTCGAGCCGTGATGAGTTATTCCGTTGGTTACAATTTTATTATACAATTAATCCGTCAACCTCTTCGATTGCGATAATACTGCAAGCTACGTGTGGAAGCTACTATACTCGTATGTATTTACCCTTAAATTACAGTATTTTGTGTGATTGTCATGATTGAAAAATCACCGCCAGCTGATGAAGATATTGCCTTGTGGTGTGCGCCACTGTGGACAGTCAGCGCGTGCTCCGATTGCAATCCGGCGACGGCATGCCACCTGTCCGTGCGGCACTTTCAATTAATCAAGCAATTTGTTGAAGACAGGCAGAACGCGTGCAATCCATTTGATTGGACTTCATAGTGTCCCACCCATCAGGGGCAAGGGTCGTGTTGTCGTCGTTTTCGCTCTTGTTTGATAGTCGCTTCGTTTCGTTTCGTCGCTGCTGGGGCGCTGCTGGCAGGGCAACCTTGGCCGCCATAATTATGGTAACCAAAAGTTTCACGCAATACACACCCACAAACGAATAAACAGCACTCACATGCTCAAACCCCTGGCACCTGGCACCCGGCACCCGGCTTACGGCACCCTGGCACCCTGGCACTCACACACTCGGACTCAGTCGCACAGCGCCAATTAAACTACACGCACTGCCTTTGCTCTGCCTGCTGCCAAGAAGGAGCTCTGGCATGGCCAGACAGTGCCAAGAACCAGAAACAACAACTAAGGGGGCATAGGAGCAGGGGCAGAGGCAGGAGCAGTAACAATCCTTACTGGATCACGACCCACTAGGTGAGGTGAGGTGAGGTGAGGTGAGGAGGTGGAGTAGTCAGCGTCGACTAATGAAACTTCAATTTACGAGGTCACGGCCCGCATGGCCTGCACGTGTGGGGCATAATTTCCCTCAGTTATTTGTTTAAACGACTTTGGCTGCGGTTTCTACAACCTACTGTCGTCTGTGGTCTGCCGTCTGCCGCTGCCGTATGTCGATTACCGATTCCCGATTGATATGAACAGAACTGCCTGAATCGGCCTAATGATTAACCAATACGCAGCCAGCACAATGCGTATACGCAGCGTGGACGTATTGATTTTTTGTGCCCGGTGGTTGCCTGGCGTCTGAATAGAAATATATTTGTATATACTCGTATGTAGGTATGAATATAATTAGTCGATGTTGACTGGTGATAAATGGACATTTTACTGCAAATTTGGCACCACAAATCAGGGTATTAGAAAAGTAATCAATATTACGCATACGCCGTGTGTCACACTGCTTGATGTTCACTCGCTGCTCTTTCCAATTGATATCACAATAATGCGTACCGATTGAGTGGGTGCAGGGTGCGACGGGTCAATGTCGATGCATTGTTTAAATCAAATCGTCTGTTAATAATCCATTGGCTGAATCGGGGCCAGCTCTGGTGCTTCCCAGAGACAGTTGGCAGTCAGGAGCTGGCTCCTAAATGGAAATGAAAGCAAATGAAATTAGTTTTAATTACAACCGTCAAGTTGCCGCAACAAAACTCGTAACTCACTTTGCCCATAAACGAGACGAAGTGGGAGACCCCGGCCCGGGGTCCACCAAGACTGACGGGGCCACGATGGGGCGACGAAGCATGGCAAATGGGGTCGCCAGCTGCTAAAGTGCCTGCCAGATTGTCTATCTGCTTGGCTGCCACTGTGGCCCCCAACATGCTTGACTGACCAGCCACACAGCTCCTCTGCTGCTCCTGTTCCTGGTGCTCCTTCGGCTGCGGGTTCTCCTGACTACTGCAGCGTGCAACGTGCCTGGCACTTAAATAAGTTTTCATATTACTTTCCCCTCTACTTGCTACTCCATTCTCCGCCACTTCACTTCACATTGCTTCTCTCCTCCGACTACGACTACGACTCTGCCTCTGACTCCACTCAACTCGACTCGACCGTGGTGTTTCCCATTATGACCTCAGAGTCCAAGTTTCTCTGCTGTTTGCAATTTTGCGCTTAAATCAAAAAAGTTTATTTTCTGCTATGGCTGCGTACAGTTTTTCATTATTTGTGCAAAAAGGCGTAAGCCAGAAGCAGGAGCAGAAGCAGTAGCAGTAGAGTGAGGCTTATATTTGTATGTGTGTGGAGACGTGTGTCCCTACAGTGAACGGCCAAGTCGCATAAATTTCCAACAACTTGGCAGCAACATCAGCAGCAGCGCGCACTACAGCCCAGCTCCACGGTTCCACATTACCAGAATTACCCTTGCCAGAGCCCGGACACTGTTCATTATGCGACTTGGCAGGCGCTGGCTACGGCGATGGCCACTTGCCTGCCAGCCTGTCAAGGTGCAGCTCATGCAAAACCCGATTGCGGCCAACTTGGGCTGAATGGCTAAGTGGTCCATGTCCACGTCCATGTCCAGCCCGGTCTTACGGCATAGACTTACGGTCAGGAGGATCTCATTGGGGCTGTTTTATGCTTTGCATTTTCCAATGTTGATTACCTAATTAGCATTTGTCATGGCTCGGTTGGCCGTAGTTGAAGCACTTAACAACAAAAAGAAATGTCAATTGTTGGCCGAATAAAGACCGAATCCTGATTCACGATTAACTGTATTCATTACAATGCTAAGGATTCTGTCTTTAATTATTGATAATTTAAAAGTAAACAATTCCCTTGTCTCAGCCTCATTCCCATTCGAAACAGAAACTCCTGCAATTAATCTTTTGCATGTCTGGTGTACATAATTGGAAATGTTGCCGCGTCGGCTGTAAACTATTAAGTGACTTGTCCCAATGGGACAAATAAGCCATGCTGGACCAGTCCTTCTGCACCCGTCACACCTACGTGATGCTCTGGCACTCTTTGCTCGGTAAATGCAGTTGCATCCAGGATACCTACGAGCAAACAGGCAGGGAGCATTTCCTGCCGTGTCCTGTCAAGGGCGGCAGGGTTTCGAGCTCCAGCTGACTGCCAGCCAACCAGGCATTTATTTATTTATTCATTCGTTCGTTTTTTTTTTTTTCGTTTTTCCGCGGCGCATCTCTGCGCTCTCCGGCATGCCGCGACAATATTTGCCAGCCAGCAGCCAGCGAGCGGAGAAAAATCAAATAAATAAATAAAAAGGGTAGATGTTTATCTGCATAATTTCTGGTCGAGTTTACGACAGTGGCAGTGGCAAACTGGGTAACCGGGTGAAACTGTCGAGTTGGCGTATCTCCCTCCCTCTTGGTACGAGTATCCTTACGTTTCCTTCCGTTTTTTGCCTCGTTTTCAGCGCACAAGCACCTCGCTGTGGGGCGAGTGGATGGGCGTGCTGCACGGCGACGAGATTGAGTACTTCTTTGGCCAGCCGCTGAACAACTCTCTGCAGTATCGACCTGTGGAGCGCGAATTGGGCAAGCGTATGCTCAGTGCGGTCATCGAGTTTGCCAAGTCCGGGTGAGTATAGCACGAGCTTTTGCCGCGAAAGCTCGGCCCAGCTTTCGCTTGCTTTATGGCAGCCAGCCAGCGGCAGCGGTTCGTGCAGCGAGTGCCACAACCAACCAGTTCAGCTCGCTATAATAAAAGCTTTCCTTGCAGCAACCCCGCACAAGATGGCGAGGAGTGGCCCAACTTCTCCAAGGAGGATCCCGTCTACTACATATTCAGCACGGATGACAAGATCGAGAAACTGGCACGCGGCCCCTTGGCGGCCCGCTGTTCCTTCTGGAACGACTACTTACCGAAAGTCAGGAGTTGGGCAGGTGAGTGGACGACCTTATCCCACCGATCCCGCCGAATGGATGGGACAGATCGTGGCACACAGATATCCAAATGAATGAAAGTACAGTCATCGGCGGAGGTTTCTGTTTCTACTTCTACTTCTGTTGCCGTTTCTGTTTTATTTTTCGTTGTTCTTCTTGTGTTGCGTTGTATTGTTTTCGTTTTGTGTAAGTTTTGCCATACCATTAACATAAATTTCGTATTCGCCACGATATATCGTAAAAAAGTGGCATTAAGCCCGCTAATGGCTGTCGGCGTCTGACAGTGCCACACCTCAACGCGAGCGCGTCTCAAAAAACGAGCTCCGATGATGTTCGCCGGCTGGAGTTCACTCTGGTCAAGCGAAGCATTAAAATATGAAATGGGAAATCGGTTATTCATGCAATGCATCCATCGTTGATAGTATCTCCAGTGCAACCTATCCTACTTTACCCTCAGCTTTCTTTGAATAATCTCTGTGAGTGCGGTGCGACGAGGCGTGCTAATTAGCATGACAATCCGCTGTAATCCGATTGCAACATTCGGCCAAAAGATTGATGATTTACCAACAGAGCTGCGATACAGTTACATTCGACCCGGCCACATGATTTATTCCCTTCGACTTAGTGGCAGTCATGAGTCAGAGGCAGAGTCGAGTGACTGACTCGACTGTTTCCAGCTTTATTCCGGTGAAAGATTTAATAGTTATGCTTTTTAATTTATGACATTTATGCGCTTCAGCATTCGTCGCAGCTCGCTGTCCGAGGCCTTTATTTACGGCTCTGTCAGTTTCCCAAAATGTGCGCATCAATCAGGCAAATGAGCTTCTAGACAGACCGGACGACTGACCGAGAAAGAAATGTGAATATGCATATGGGCTGCCCCTGACAATGATCAATGATAGGTATCTGGCCCTCCTCGCCATATACATACTCCTATGTATATGTATACTTACATCGTTTGTATGCAGAGAGAGAGAGAGAGAGAGAGATGGTGGGCGTCCGATTTTATGTTTGCACTTAAGTTTTGTAAAAGTTTGTGGCCCATTAAAATGAGTGGACAGTTGAACAGATTATGGGTTTTGGGTGAAAGATCACAATCGTATTGGACCGCGCCACAATGTCTGGTCTGGTCCGGCCCGGCTCGCACCGGAGCGGAGCCGAGCGGCACCACTGATGACGCTTGGTGGCTTGTGGAGCTACAACAGAAAATTACTAGCCCACCAATTAATAAAAACTTAATTTATGTTAATTTGCTGCGTTGTATTTGGTTGTTGTTTCTTTTCTATTGGCTTTAGAGCTAATTTTGGTTTTACATAAACCCGATCGACTGATCCAGCGAACGAACGGGTATGCAAATGAGTCCGGGAGAAGGAGGGGATGTAGGGAGCTAGTGCAAGCGCTTACTTAAAATATCTCTCCAATCGATCATTCGGCCCGGGATGGGATGGCTTTTCGGATATGACAAGCTCCACTTTTGATCTGGCTGAAGTAAAAGTTTCCACTTAGCACCCCGAAGAGTTGTAGAGAGCGTCCCTTCCCGCGTTCCCGTTTCTAGCAGAGAGCTGACCGCAAACCCAGGTCCCGAACCGGTTCTGGATTTGGCAAATTAATTAATTTGCATCTCTATATGTAGCGGTTTATTCTTTATGGTCGAAGCGCTTGCCAACAATGCTTCCCATTTGCCTTAATGGCCATTTAAAATTTCACCCTCAGCCCACAGAGTGGCCGGCAGATCGCCGCTCACCGATCTAGTTTGTATTAATCTTATACAATGGGAACTGGTCGCTCGTCCTGATGTGATACCAGACACGCTGGCACCGCCAGCCGCATAGCCGTCGAAATGTCACCAGCTGGGTCTGGCAGAGGGGACTGTGATTGCGACTGTGGATGGGAATGGGAATGGGCTTGGGGATGGGGATGGGGCAGAGTGAGATAAATAAGCGATTGCCGTGTCATAACTCAGGCGCACGCGTGCTGGTGAAGAGATACAAAACGCTGTAGATACAATATCTTTTCTGTTTTATTTTTTATTTTTTTGCATTTGTATGGGCCCGTGTTGGCCTTTTCTCTTGGCTGCGGTTTCGATTCGATTCGTTTCGTTTTGTTTCGTTTTTGGTTTCTTGGTTTTATGTTGAGTGGTGTTGTGTTGTGTATTGTTTTGTTGTGTGCGTTTAGCGACACGTGTTTCAAATGTTCGTTCGGTGTGGTGTGTTTTTTATTTTTTTTATTTGTACAGTCTGTTTGCGCTGATGTTGTATTTGTTGTGTTTCGGCTTGTGCCAATTTATTTCTTTATTATCTGAGCGTATAATCTATGGTTTGTTCAGCCTTTTAAATTCAAATTAGCAAGATTAAATGCACGCAATGGAGTGAGAGAGAGAGCGAGAGAGACTGATATACTCGTGGGGCAAGCTCAAGAAATATGATCAATTTGGCCATTATATATGAAATTTATGGCCCAACTGGTGGAAGATTGATTTTGCAATTGATTTAATTTGCTTTTCGCTGTTTGCTTTGCTTTCGTTGATTTAAAGACTCTTTGCACACTTGCACTTCGTTTTGCCCCCCCCGCCACCCCTCAAGTGAGGATTATAAATTAAGTCGTTGAGCAAGTCATCCCTGGCATTAAGCAGGTGTATGTACAATACCCGAGTGTTCCGTACTCCTATGTATGTATACGTATGTACATAAATACATATGTACGTGCTGCAGAAGAGGCTTGCCGGCCGGCTTTCGAGCTGAAATTCGATCCCTACTCGGGCCATTTGAAGGTGTTGCTGCCGTTAAGTATTTGTCGGGGTATATGTTTGTATTCGAGTTGTTGTGGCCAAACAACTTTCGAATGAATTAGCACACAACTTATGACAGAACTCATATATGGTATGTTTGTCTAACGATATTAAAAAAAAAATATGCCAATGCAGAGCAGATCGTTTTGTAGGAGTTTTGGTCAAGGTAAGTTCGCGTGAATTAATCCTAAGTTTCCTTTCGTTTCGTTTCCTATCGTTTCTAATGCACCAACACTCGCACTTAAACCAACTGCTTTTGCTTTTGCTTTCCTTTCTCAATATAGTATACATGTATCTGTAGCCCGTATCTGTATTTGGCTTGTACTTTAGGCTATTGATCGGATGCAGAAGTAGTGCTACAAATTCAAGCAGCTGATGTAGGAGCAGAGAGATCATTGCGAGGAGAATCCTTTCACATACTCTTACATTTTGCCCATCTGATTCCCATCATTCACCACAGACCACATACCCGATTCGATCTAAACTCATTTCTCCCCTTTGTTGGCAGGTGCAGGTTGCGATGGCGACTCGGGAAGTGCTTCCATATATCCCAGGCTGCAGCTCCTGTTGCTGGCTGGACTGCTCTTCATTGGTGCCGCCTTGAGAACCAAAGGAGTTTTCTAAAAGAAAACCACTTCGGGCAGTACCCACACAAATACACACACACAAAATCACAGCCACACACACACACACACACACACAACACACAAAACCAACTCACACTTAAAATTAAAACACATATATTAATAAAAAATGTAGCAAGCGGAAAGAAAAAGCCCGAAAATGTTTATGTAAAAGTAGCACCCGGAAACGCAGCAGATTGTGCAGCAGATTTGATAAAACGGAACCTAGTAGAATCGGCTAGAGCCGATCCATGGATTGATTACATGGCAATTGCCATTGCTGAACATTTGTAAATTGAAAAAAAAAATTAGAGCGCTCTCTGCACCCCCCAGAAGAAGCCAGCTTAATTTTGCATATCACACGAGCGTCTGCCGACTGCGGCAGAGAGGCCCGTGGAGAGGCCGGGCCCAACCAAATTGTTTTTGTGTAGTAGGACGCTAAATTGCTTGATTTGTAGGAACCTGGCCCAGAGACGACGCGCACGCACCGAGCCAGTCTCCAGTCTCCAAAACAGAACTTTTGATAATTGAAAATGTTTGTCCTGCCCCTGTGCTGGGGGCAGCCTGAATATGTTTACATAGACCGAATGGACTTGACTTCCATTTCCATTCGCTTGTTCGACAAACAAAACCAAGACACTTTTTGCCAGAGGGCGTGCGAGCCACAGTCACGCCCACACCCCATCTTGAGCGCATTTAATGGCACAATTTTTTGCTTTCAGTTCGGAGGAGTCCTTGTCGCCTAACGATATTTGGCCAAAATTGCATTGGTTTCATATTAGGTTGAGGGGTGTCACTTGATTTCGATTTGCTTTCCCAGGGAAACCACAAAAATTTGTAAGCACCCAAGATTCTTATGAGAACAACCAAGTGGAAATTTTTGGAAAAAGAAAAAAACCAAACTAAACACACACACACACAGACACATTTGTATTGTACAAACGATTGGCGTTGGTTTATCAGAAGAACAAATGAAAATGAAATTAATGGGTAGATGAGATAGATGAGATAAATGAGACCCAACCCAAGTCCAGCACAACCCAAACAAATTTTTTGCGAAATTAACAAAAAACCAAGCAAATTGATAAATTGTAATAGAGGATCGATCACAAAGGAAGTTTAGCTTAGGACGGGATAGAGGAAATATTTATATGGCAAAACATATCAGTATATTATATATATATATATACAAAAACCAAAAACAAAAAAACAAAACAAAATATATATACACGGAATATTGTATTTGTACTAAACGTTTTACAAATTGGCTTAGTGACAACTGGTGGAGAGGAGAAATTAAAAAACTAAATAAATAAATAATTGGAGCGAAGAGGAGAGTAATGGTAATTAGATATTTTATACACTTAGTGAAATTGGATCAATGAGTAAACAAAAACCAAAAACAAAAAAACCAAAAACAAAAAATGTATTGTATAATGAGAAACAGTGTACTTGGTATGTCTATATCTATAAATAAATATTGTTCAAAAGTAAATCAAGAAAGATAAAATGATAGATCATTGTCAAAACCCTAGAGTTCAGTGTGTGTCGCAGACTAATGATAGCTAATGAGCAAACCGTAATCGTAAATGTAATATGTAATCGTAACCGTAATCTGTAATCTGTAATCGTATTAAAGGCATATCAATATGTATTAACTATGAAACGAAAACCTTTCGAAATTAACTAAGGTAAGCCACACTGATATTAATTAAGTTATTTTTATCAACTATTATTATAATACCACACCCTATCTGATAATACATAGATCAACAAGTATTAGACTTATGAAGAACAGCAAGCAGCGGCACGACTAATGTAACATTAACTGTCTGCTAACATTTAAAACGTTTTAAAACCAACCAATGAACAAAAAACCTAAAAACCTAAAAACCTAAAAACTAAAACTAAAGTCTAAAATCCAAAGTATAAAAATCGCAACAATGAGCGAAAACCCAAATGAAATGTTGTATGGTATAAGGAAGAATTATGGTCGAGGCCTATTTGAGCGATGTTCGCTTTCCACTGTAGCCACTACGAAAACTTAATGACACTTAGGACACTGTAGGGTCAATGGGCGGGCAGGCAGCCATCACTTGTTGTTGATCGGGCGGTCCCTGCCACTATGTTCTATTAGCCTCCGATACTACTCAACACCCTCCCCCCACCACCCAATGCAAGCACCGATAGCCACCACTTAATTCAGAACTCTCCAAATAGTTATGCAACAATTGCACCGTGAAAACGAATTGTAGTTCCATTGAATCGAAGCAGAATCGGCATGCGAATGGGAATGAGCAGATCCACAGGGCATTCCTAAGTTACAATCTACTTTACATAAATACTTCATAAAGAAAAGACAACCGAACCCCACACACAAACAAAAAAACGAAGCAAATACAACACTTTATTATGAGGAAAAAACTTTAACAGAGGGATTTTTTAAGTACGAGTAAATGTGGACATTTATATTTTTATACCATGCAAGAAGAGAAACGAAAACGAATATGAATATGAAAACAAAACCGAAATTGCATTAAAAAAAATATATTAACAAAGAATGAACGAGGATTAACTTTAACTTTTTTTACTAAACGAAAACTTTGTCTAAAACTGGGCGACTGTTTAAGTCCCCGAATAAAAATGTGAACAAACTCCAACAAAAAAACTAGCTTTAATCCCTTTACCCTCAGTACCCTCCCCCAAATGATTGCACCACGTTCGCCTCAAAACAAAGTAAAAAAAAAACAAAACAAAAGAAAAAAACCAAAAAGTAAATGATTAATAAACCCAAGACTAGACTTTGATAGTTAATCCATTTTGTAGCGAGGAGTGGGCCCTGTGCGGAGAGCCAGAGCCTCCGACAAGGCCAAGGCTGCCTGGGCCGCGCTCCTTTCTGGCTAACCTCCAGGCCAGCTGGGAGCAGGCTCAAACGGCAGCGTTGGCTTTGGGTCCACTCGGGCCCAGACCTAGGGTTAATGAGTAGTAAGCAAAATATATGAATTTAGTGTGTATTATGCCTTCTGCCTTTGACAAGAGAAACGAAGAAAACAAAAATGAACCTATTGAATGCACGTATTCATTCTACGACTAAGTTGTCTCAATCGAACAAAAAACATTTTTCCATTCCTTTCGCCTCACCCGAAAATAGGAATATTTTTTTGTCATTTTGCATGGTTTTCGGCTCAAGCCAAAGAATTGACAATATAATATTTCGCCTTAGAAGCAAAGGAGCAAACGAATGAAAGACAAAATTCCAAGTGTTATGCTTATAGATCTAAATTTTTATATATGGACCTGGACATGGACATGGACATTCCGCAGAGGCGCATCAATGCCACTCGTATGATTTATACAGTTTGTACTCTTCGTTGCGGTTCTTCCAAGCCATCTACGTATGTATATATAGTGTACGGATATACATACATACATACACTCACAAACACACACACACACACGTACGCACATACCAAAGACACACATACACGTCGCAGTGTGCTTTTGCTGTAGTAGTCTGCCAATTGTAAAAGAATTTATACGAGTATATAAAACGGAAACGGAAATACACACATATTCCAATCTATGATAATAATAATGAAAGCATGCTGGTCACACCGATACACACACACACAAACAAACACACACAGACTATCAGACTTTATATATACGGCACACACATTAAGTACCCCGAGCAGAATCGGGTTTGTGTTTTGTATAGACAAACAGAAATAGGCATAAACTAAAACCAAAAACCAAAAACCAAACATAGTCAAGTTTTTTGTTTGTTGTGTATTAAGAACAAGTTACAAATTATATCAGCTACGACATCTGATAATAAAATCGAATATAGGTGGTAGACAAACTCTCTGTACAATGTAATAAGTTGATTGCTATACAATACAAAATACAATACAATACAATACAATAAACTCTCGCCCCCACACCCAAGCAGAATCCAATCCGAATGAGTAATATGTATGAATAATAATACGAGTAACACCAAATGAATACCAGGCACAGAAATGCATTTGAAACCAAACCAATTCTCACACTTAGCGTATAAAATAAGAGAATAATAAATAACCTTAGAGGAAGATTTAGCAAATTGAATACAGTTTTTTATGTATAAAATCAAATACATATCAATATATGGCCTATTGTTTATTTAGTTTAATTATATACTACGGATAGCAGATAACGGATAAAGGATAGTGGATAGTGGATAGTGGACAGCGGATTAATGCAGCGCACGACACCAGAGGGCTCTGATTTATGACTTTTTAAGTAGGCAATTTGTATAAATTAAGCAGCAAAAAAACACACACACTAAACCAGGCAGAACAGAACAGATCAGAACAGTACCGAACCGTACCGTACCGAAAGCGGGGAAACAAAAACAAATTGTGGCTAAATATGTGTTCTTACTTGTTAGTGGTAATAAAACAAAGTTAAAACTTAAAAGGTAAAAGTATCTGTAACAAACAAAAAACATACATACATAATGTAAACCAACTGTAATTAAGCTGTTAGCTTTTAACCATGCCAAGCATTTTGCGTTGACTCTTCTTTGATTTGACAGGCCATCGGACCATACATATACATACGTACTCGTACATATGATTTCCTCATTTTAGCTTGTACCGTAAGTTGTAGTTGCCTTCAAATATACAACACACACACAGACACACACTCACACGTTCTATGAGTACATAATATGTAATACCCATCCATGTATTTAAACAAGACCAGTAGTGTGTCCCATTTCAGCAAAAAAAACACCACCCGAGCTGGCATCAGATCAGACAAGTAAACAGAGTTAAGAGTTACTAAAAATAACAAATGCGACACGACAAAAGAGCAAAAGTCAAGAGCAGATCGAAAAATTAATAAATCGAGACTCATAAAATTTAACAGACACAGACACACACACACATATATAGTCAAATGGCCAAATGGCTAAATGGCTAAAATGGCAGCTTAGATTTTGGTCATCATATTCTGTTTTAAATTTGAATATCGGTTCGACGACGACGCATTAGTATGCCCGAACACAGCAAAAGCGAAGCAACAAAAGCAGAGTTCTAATTATGTGTACCAGTATTGGACGATGTTCGTTTTGTGTCAGTACGTTTGCCAGAACGTTGTTAACCATTTAATTATAATTATTATTGTCGCAGAACTTACTTTAAACTAAAGGAAATGCAGATGCGGAATGCAAGCCCATTTAAAGAAATATGCAAAGTATAATTGCTGTTTAAGATATTACTATATATGAATATATATAGAATATATATATATACATATATACATATAGATTGAAAATTATGACATGAGCATACAAAATGTAGGGATCATTTTACTGAATATATATACATATATATATATATATACATTCTATACTACATATACTCGTAATCGAAACCAAAATTCTGCTAAACCAAGAAACAAAACAGAAACAAAAACAAAAGATAACACAATTAAATGCTAAATGTAATACGATTGCTAAACTCAAGAGAAAGTAAGGAACTACCAAAACAAAACAAAAACAAAAAACAAATGTAATGTGTAACCAGCATTAAAGCAACATAAAGAAACCAAAATTTAAGTGAAATTATATTACGAAATATATTGTATATCGGTACAAGATGAATATAAGAAAAATACAAATAAAACTCATGTATCATGTACTAAACAAATCCGAGACGTTTTTATCTCCCCTTACCTTTCCCCTTTCCGATTAACATCCCATCGATCATCTGTACACAAGTGTATACATACATACAAGTACGTCATCCATCCGCATCTATTCCCGTTAAATCAGTTGGAGATCATCAATTTCAGGAAGCGCCTGCCCGAGTGAGACAACAACTTCTATCACTCTCAGTTTAGTGACTACTAATTACGGGCTTCGCTGGCGTTACATTGAATCAATAAAAACCGAGATGAAAAACACCAAATAAAATCGCATATTTATGGCTGAGCGGGCGCAAGTGAAGAAAACTTAATTTATGATGCAAATAAATTTACAATTATGCCCGTAAGCTCGCTGCTGCTTCCGCATGCCGCGGTATGCCGCTTGCCGGTTGCCGGTTGGTGGTTGGTTTCAGGCCCCAAAATGCAAATTAATCAACGCATATTAAAACGAAAGATGCCCCACAAATGCCCAGCATAGTTTTCCCCTTTCCCCTTTCCGCGACCAAGTCGCCGACCATTTGTCAATTTGTCAGAGCTCAGGGCTCAGGGTTGGGTTTTTACGAGGACTCGTACTGTAGTTGCTCGTAATAAGCTGGGAGGCTGAGCCTTTCTACACCTGAGCACAGGTCATACTCACGCCGACATGAGCTTACTCTAAAAATAGACGAGCGCTTGTGCACATTTTATGCAATTCAATCACAGAAGTTGTAGGCTCATTAAGCTCTCATATGTGAATGGGAACATTAAGTCCCTTATATGTATATTAATAACATATTCATATTCGCTTTACAAGGCCTCATGACTTCTCCGCTTAGTAAGAGTATTGGAGTGAATACGATGCATTTTCATTAAGGGTTGTGACCCCAAAGCGGCTTATGGGTGGGTAGAGGTAGGGGGGCAAGGCGGGTCGCTTAGCATAAAAGCAATTCTGTAAATGCAAATTAGCATTGCAGCAGAAACACTTTATTTGAGTACACACTCGTTAAATATTTTTTATGCCGGCATATCTAATAAACTTTATGCTCTTTCCCTGTCTTCTCTTGCAGCATTTGCGCAGCAGATAACCCGTGTGGCAGCCTCAACGTTTGTCTATTTGAGGACCTGGCTGATCAAAGCCTAAATGGAGTGGGACATACTCGTAATCTGTGCCCTTTACGACTTAAGAGTTAACCAAAGCACCTTCCAAATACTTTTCACAAGAAACCAAGATATGCAACAGAAGTCTGATTGAACGATAGTTAGGCTAAGGCTTAGGACTGGACTGGCACCAGAGGAAATAGTATGACTAGAGGGCCGAGAAGAGACGACAATAAAGCAGAAAACGTGGCCCAAGGCTGCAGGATCTGAGATTTGAGATTAAATGAATTTAAAAATTTTAATCCCAGGGCTTCGAAACAGAGTATTTTTGTATGATTGAGAGCATGAGAGCAGAGTGCTGGACACCCTCACAACTCACACACTGAACTCGTTGTTTGTTTTTAAACTTTAATGAGCAATCGCAAATGTTAAATAAATATGTTTCACTTGATTAATGCAAAATAAGGCAGTAACTGAGTGCCGAGTATTTCCGTTTTCAGCCGTTTCTCAGCCACTACTATACTACTTAGATTTACTATAATTGATCCCCGGACAATCTCGAAGTGGAGTTAATCTGGCGATCGAATGGGCTTACACGCAGCAGCCAGCAAGCAGCCTTCAACTTGGCATATGAATAATTTTAAATTCGGTGTATGAGAGCATGCCGTGCTGTGACTCGATAAACCAAGCAAGGCGAATCGATGAGCCATAGCCATAGCCATAGCCATAGCCACAGCCTCTGCGGGCGCAGACTTCTTGGCGTTCCTGTCCATTGACCCAGCATGTCGCGCCGCAGAAGAAGCAATCGTAAACTGGCAAGGCAGTCCCATGAAAAACTCCAGCTGACAGAGCTGGAAAAGAGATGGAGTCACAGCTCGAAGCTTGCGAATTTTATTTTATTTGGCCAGACCACAGACAAATGAGCCAGCCAGCGTACGGCGGAGACAACCAGTCACCACTCGTCGTAAATCTCTGGTTCGGTACGGCACAAAGGCAGCCCAGCTAATTCTTCAATAGAAATATAACCTGTTTCCAATTATCGTTTTGCATTTGGCTTGGGCTTTCGCCAGGGTCCAGGCACGGGCACCAAACACCACCCGATACCCACCTATGTATGGTAATTTTGGCTGGAACGTGTAGAACCTGGGGGGATGGGATGGGATGGCTTGTGTGTCTTTATGAAACAAATTGTTAGTGTCAATTAACATATGGGATGTGGCCAAATGATGCTGCGATGCTCCACAGACGACAGACGGCAGACGAAAGCCGTGGCACAGTGACGCACAGTCGATGGTAATGGGAGGGCATTTGCTTTGCTGGTCTCTGAACTAGTCAAAATAGAAGGGGATTCCATTCCGCGGACTTGGAACCATTTAAAAATACTAATGACAGGCCCATCAATAACCGGCCCGGGGGCTTAGTCAATTCCAATTAAATTTTCACAGCTTTTTTGCGATAGTGGAACCTGCTCCCACTCTGCTCGAGGTCACTGTTCCTGGCACAGTGCCAGTGCCAGTGGCAGTCACTGGAAAGGTCTGTAAGAAGGTGTCAAACGGGCTGCGCTCATCTGAAACGAATTAGCAGATCTTCCCGGAGAAGATCTTGGTGCAAGCCAAGCCAAGCCAAGCAGCCCAATGATGTCAAGCCATGAGAGGGGGTTTGCCCAACGCCACTATACCTCAACGAGCACCACCACCAGCTAACAATAAAGAGCCGCATCTTTATTTATAATTTCATTTATGGGCGCACTAATTCGTAGATTTGTTTTGGGACCCCGAGTGGCTATCATGAGTAATTCGATTGGGCAAATATTGAGCTGTACGCATGTCATTGAAGTTCGCGTGAAATTGTCAACGGATACGAGGGGCTATCATCGGCCATTACGGTAATAGCTTGTGCAAATATTTTCAGCCACCTTCAGCGGAATCCACATCCAGTGCTGACGCAGCGGCCAAAAGCCGAGTTCAATGGAATTGTTGTGCTCCGGTCTACGCGTCTCAGAGAAATGACCCACTCGCCTTGTTTCGACTTTACCTTCACACCCACACCAAGCATTTCTGGGTTAAATTCGCCGTGTAACATAGCCCAGCTGCACGGGCTGACTATATTCAGAGCACACGCGTCGCGTCGCGTCGGTCGGGCCGCTCCATGCGTAGAAGATTCATTGCCAAGTTCGTTGGCACTTCCGGAAGGTCACACAAAGAGATAATGGCCCACAAATCATAGCACAATTGTGTGACTGTTTGCAGAATTGGCCATGCTGGCACATATACGAATATGGCCCAGGGTCGATCTTTATCGCTCTCGGAGGCTGACAGAAAAAGTTTGTCGCCCCTTGTCGTATACACAAATTTGGCCTGGCCAACCCCGTAGATAGGGCATTAGTTGCATAAGGCAGGTTTATGATGTTCACCGATTTGCATACGCCTCGAATCGCATTATGGCTGACACTTTTCCGGCCTTTCTCAGTTGATTTTCTTACTGACAGACACACAGATAAAAGTGTCAATATATATAAAAATAAATATATACTTCAATAGAAATTCGGTTGAGCTGCGACCCGTTTGTGTTGTAGAAAAATTCTGCTTTTTGAGTATCGTTTCGGAATTGACAAATTTGTAGTGAAAATTCAGAGCCATGCAGAGGCGTCAACAGGAGAACTTTTACCAAGTGCTGAACGTGCCCGTGAACTCGAGCGATCAAGAAATCAAGAGCCGCTTCTTCGAGCTGTCCAAGAGGTATCATCCGGATGCCAACAGCCAGAGCGGCGACTCCGAGCGGTTCGCGAAGCTGTGTGAGGCGTATAACACGCTGCACAGGCCCAGCATGCGGAAGCAGTACGACACCAGCATGAAAATACAGCTGCAAAAGTACGCCCAGCTGGACAGAGTCCAGCAGAACGTTGGCAGCGTCTGGCAGCAGTTTCACACTCAAATGCGCAACAAGCAAAAGCGATGCTTCTACAATGGGATAGCAGGGCGGATGCCGACGACCGCCTTGGCCAGTTTGCTGCCCGTGAAAACGGCCGTGCTGGACCCAAGCCAGGGCTGTCGTATCGTGAACAGAGAGGCTCCACCCAGGTTCAAGTGGAACTTGTGCCGCACTGGGTTCAGTCTGTTCAGTGGACTGCTCATCCTGAGCTTCCTCATGGTGCGGCATGACAATCCCTGGTCGTTGCAGCCCCCAATACTATACGAAGCGAGCTCAAAGCGAGACGAACCGCCCTCTAGTTTGATGAGCAACACGTTGGATCTTCTGTGGGCTGGCTTCTAGGATATATTATTGGGTGGTCTGCACACTGCCGGGCTGTGGCCTGTCACCTGCCTTCTTCAATCTTTCCACCTAGCAGCGTGTCGAGGCATCTCATGCATATGCATGGGACGGGCATAATATTTTGTTAGATTTCTGACTGAAAAATATATAAATTTGCCCGTTAATTGTGTGAATCTCTCTCTTAAACTACAACATCTACCACGTCTGCCGTCTGATTATGCATAATTTGTCATTCCGCCGGACAGGGCAGCATAACTGATCGCAGATCGGACAAACGAGTTTCACCGTGTGGCTACAACACGCGGACAGGCAGACAGACAGGCAGGCAGAGACCGCTTCTAGTTCAGTTTTCAGCTAATTAAGAATTATGAAATTTAGCGCTTTTGCTTTTCATGTTACCCTACGCTAAAGGGGGGGCATCGATGACGACTGGTGATGTTCGAGTGCTTCTGTTTATGCTGAATACAGTTCATCGTATCTGCCTGATCACGCCTTCCCTTTCAGAGGGTATCGCATCTGTGACGCAAGTGTGTGCACAGTCGTTGAGCAGGCATCCTCTCACCTGTAGAACATCTGATGGCGACTCTATTCCCGTTCGGCGGGGCTGGTTAAACTTCCGCGCCGCTTGTGACCAAGCATGACCTTAGCTACGCTGACGCTGACCAACAGAAGATGTTCGCTTCGGCTCGGATAATAGACATATTTTGGCTTAAATATGTTCTATTATGATGCCATTAAATGGAACGTACAGTGGCAGAGTCTCGTCTACCAAGGCGAGCGACTGCCAACCTTGTCGGCTTAACAGCAACTATCAATTGGAGTCTGGTCTCTAATCAGATAGAATCTCTGGGGTGGGCGCTGGGCCGACAATTTACGGCTTGTTAAGACCAGCTGGAACCGTTAGTCAGACAGTAATACATACGTAATACGTGATACGTATAGTTTTGTTAATTTGACTATTGTATTTCCATTCCGTGTTCTGTTTTTCTTGCCCGTGTTATTTTTCAGTCTTAATGATAATGATAAATTATGATCAGTGCTTGGCTTTGATTAAGTTGTCGTTCAACGGGTCGCTTCTCTTGTCGAGAGGCTTAGGTTTGGTTCGCTTTCAAACATTTCGTATTGGATAGCAGATCAAATGCGCTGATATAGTTAACAAGCGAATTGAAACTGAGAACTCCAATCGGATCCGCGACACAAAAAAAAACAGCAGCAAAAAATGCAAAAATACCCAAACCAAAACATAAATCAATATTCGCATCGGGTGTCGATCCAAGCGATCCGAACGGGGCGCATGCGCAGCAGAGCGGCGCGATAAAGAGCGTTAAAATTATGTTCTGTCGCCTGGCCGGGCAGAATAAATACATACGGCGATTGGGGTCCATAATGAAGCCTATAAAGAGCCGGGGCGAAATCAGCTCAGCAGGCGCAAAGTGAAAAAATCACAAAAAATGGTCAAAAATTTATTGTACGCTGACGGCTTTTTAATGAAAATCGCTGGCTACCAAAGCGAATTAATGAAGGTGTGTGCGCATACATACATATATTATATACATATACATATAGCCATGTGTATCCCAGTTTCAGCTCTCCCCTCCCGTATCCACCATTTTTTTTTTGAGCTCGTTTCTGTGCCGACAAAAGTTCAAAACGAGAAAGAAACCGAACAACAACAAAAAAAGAGTCACACAAGCTATGATCAGCATATGAATCGGTTTAGCATAAGAATGAAAACGTTTCTCTAATGAAAATTGTTTATGGTTTATTCGACAATCTCCCTTCATTCATTCATTCAAACACGTGTTCGACATGGCTTATTGACTTATTTTCGATCTTAGAATTAAGTATGATTGAAAAACCTTACAAAAATAACTGGAAGTGCCTTGTAGCTGCTCGCTCTAGTAGCTCTCCGATTTCCATTCCCATTCCGATGCCGATTCCGATTCCGACTGCGCCGTTTGTTAATGGAGTTCTCTCACGCGCACAACTTCATCATAAACGCCATCGGCATGACATTTTAATTATGTTGCTGTCAAATTGCCTGCCGGCCAGTCAGACAGTCTGGCGGCCAGGTTTCAATTGTAATTAATAATATTTTAATAATACCCGTACCCGTACTCGTTGGCATCGCTTTTGGCGGCTTGTGGGGCAGCTCAGGCGGGTCGCTAAGGCGCCGTCAAGTGCAAAAATTGAAATGTTATGGAAATGTTTTGTCATAGACTGAGATCAAATGGAGATGAGCACCACAAACTGAGTCAGCGTGAGTGAGTGACTACTGTTTTGTGGGTGACTGTGTCAGCTTTGGCATGGCAAAACTTTACGCAATTTAAAATCCATAACCTACAACATAACTTGCAGTTAATATAAGTACTCAGTAATATACGTATCTAGTATACAAATATTGCAGAAATCCAAACTTAAATGTACAGTTTTTTATATGCTCCGACTTCATTCGCTTTCAGCTAAAATTAAGTAAAATTCTTATATGACTTGCATGTTTTTTTTTCACATTTTCTGAAACCCTTTGTAAATCTGCGCTCCGCCCATCTTAGTTTTGCTTTCAAAACAGATTTACGAGTACTTGTAATGCCAATATTTAGTCCACTAGTAAAGTGGTGGTCATCTCTGGCGTTCGGTCAAGACGGAGTGGATTGGAGGCGGAGCTGCTCGAAGTGTTTATGCGGAAAGATTAATGGCAACGGAAGCGATATCGGCAACAAGGATGCGCTTGAGTGACGTTGATGTGGCCACTTGACACCTGCATTGCCAAGTCGAGTATTAATAACAATATTGCCTGCCGTCAATGGAAATGCCACTTATGAGCATCTAAAATATATAGGAAAACTGACGAGTGTCAATATGCATGGAGAGTTCCGCAAGGCGATCGCTGAGATATCGCGCAAACAAACTCGAACGGCTAGCAAATGTTACGAGCACTAGGAATGACTGATTAGAGAAGTTATCAGCGACCTTGCGTGTGCGTTATTGTATCATCATCAAATGGGAAACCTGTGTTGGCCCCACTCTCCGACATGACTGACCTTATTGACAGCGTTCTGGCTTTCTAACTGAGTGAAGGTGTTGCGGCTCGGAAGGCGGTTCATGGGTATGGGCATGGGCATGGGCAACGGGCATGCCTATGTCTCGTATGAATATTTATAACTAAAACTAGGCAATTAATTTATTCCGTCTTGGACATTGTTTTATTTTTTACTTTCTTCATCTACATATGCAAACACAAAAAATTTTATATTTAGAATGCGAACAGCTGAAGAGAAACTCGTTTCTTGGTTATTTTTAAATGATAGATACTATTTCGAGAGTTAAGTATGATCGTAAAACTGAACACGAATCTGCACCCACCTAACTGGCTAGCCACTGCAAGTCCAGAGACACACAGGCCACACAGAGATCACCGCATGATTCAGGGTACGCTTCAGCATAACTGGGTCGGCGGGGTGATTCACAGGGCTGAATGTTACACCGATCCACATAAATAATGCATTCGGCAGGATTTCAGTGGAAAGTGTTGCTCACCAATAATTCCGAGCTGAGGGAAATGTCAATGGGTGCGTGAATGGATGAGGAAAGGAGCTGCATGGGTGGCGTGGCGGCTGATGTTCAAATCAGCAGCACGCGCAACGCAACAAAGACATTAAATTGAGTCATAAAGCCACACAATGGCAACAAGCAACAACCTGAGGAGGAACAACCACAACAACAACAACCACAACAACGGCGGCAGCAACAACAACAACAACCAGAAGAACGGCTACAACCACTTCGATATCAGTCGGATGATACCAAGTGCTGTTAAATTGAGTTAAATGAGGTGTTGGGAATTTTTTACTTTGCTTAACATGCGCATAAATGTACGCGGCTTATTCGCGGACATGCTCGTATCGACGGGTCGACAGACACTCCGATACGTACGTACGTACGTATACGTATTTAAATGCAAATACTTGGAAGGAGAATGGACTGGAGTGCTAGTGGTAGTGCTATGGATGTGGATGGTGGAGCAGCAGCAGAAGCAGAGGAAATCGAAGGCCAATAATGTTTGTTTAAATTTTAGCTGCATGTGTCTTGCTTCAGCAATACAAATAAAACCACAGTGAGTAGGAAATGTACGCTACCATTCAGAACACAATGCGAAATCGAGTGGAATAGGAAGAGGCTGGGCTGGGCTGGGCAGGGCAGGGGCGAAGCAACAGCAAAATGAACAACAGAGAACGTGTTTCGGGCATATGTTTATTTCATATTTCTGTAAAGCATAATTTTTAATATTTATGTAGTTTTCGTGAAATAAAATAAATCAGCGGGGCAGCAGAGACGTCACTGCCTGATCACTGATCGCTGGACCCTGGGATTGGAACTGCAACTGGGATTGGGACATGGGACGTGGGACATTCCCTTATACAAAACGTCATGTGTGGCATCCGTATGGGCAGAGGTAGAGGCACTAAAACGAGGTGAAATAACCAGAACCAGTTAGCAGTTGCGCCAGTTGCCAGGCAAAGATCGCCTGGGATGGGTTATGTCCATGCTGCTGGGGATGCTGTGGCTGCTGGGGCTGCCGGCTCAATCGTTTGTACTTGTTAATGGCTTTGTACGCGTAATTATTTTGGCAAGAAGTCAGATTGCCGCCTGGTCGCGATTCGAGGCGGAAATGCGGACATGGCCAGTGCGTACGAACGGGTGTACCGATGTGAATGTGCACCGATGGCCCTACTTTATCTGGTACCCGTCTGGTGAAAGGATCTGGCGGCATTTGTTCTGCTGCTCAGCGCTGTGTATTTAATTGGGTGTTTTTATTGGTTTTTAATGATACGCGAAATGATCGAAGCTGCGACTGGACTCCGCTCCTGGCCGCAGGGCACCTGCTGCTGCTGTCCCAGTCTCCCTCAATGTCCCATGCCACGCCCCGTGCGCAGCCAAGTGATTGTTGCCGAACCAGCAGCATGCATGATTGATATTGGGTTCAATCTGCTCTGCTCTGCTCTTCTTCTCTCTCCCTTCCTCTGCCGCTGTCTTTGGCTCTGACTCTGGGCGCAATTATTCAAAGAACCCTAAAGCAGGGCCCGGGCAACATGTTGCCCGCAGCATGTTGATAAGCCGCCGCTGCGACTGCGCAGCGTCTGCTCTCCCGCGTTCTCTCTCGCTCCCCCACTCTGTCACTGTTTCGCCGTCTCTGCTCTCCACGCACTCAATCAGCAGGTGCTGCCGATCAGCAGCAGCTTCTTCGAAGTCGCCGCATCGGCATCGGTATAAAAGCGTCGGCGCCGAGCAGCCGCTAATCAAACAGACGACGCCTTCAAGTCTAGCTGCACGTACACGAGAGTGGAGTTGGAGTCGTCGGCAAATTTCGTGGCGCTTTTTTCGGTTTCTGGCAGAACGGCAGCAGAGTCTGTCCCAAAATTGTGATACAAAAATTTCCCACCAAATTCAAATTGAATGCCAAGTGTATGAATCCAAATATAACACTGTCGTACATGAAGAGGTTATATTTAGTCGATAAGAAAGTGCCCAACTAGTGCGGGTATCCAAAAAAGAAACGAGTGCTTCAAATCTACAAATCAAATACAAATTAAATCAAATTCATAAATCAAATCCAAAATGATGCAGCACAGTGCTTTGCTTCTGTCCACCATCCTGATCGTCTCCTGTGGAGCGGCAATCGCCTGCAGCGGAAAGATAATTGGTAAGCCCTCCACGACACATCCAACCCGAGTGGACGCACCCTGTTCACAGATATCTGGGGTGCTTCCAAAGTGCCATTGAGAATAGAAGTCGGCTGCATGCCTGGCATGCATAAATAGAGCTCCAATAGATGGTTTCCTTTATTTTTTTTATTTTTTTCTAGTTCAGTTTGTACACGTTTTTGCCATTTGTTTTGTGTATAAAGAGCCACCTGGTAATGGGCAAATATTTGCCCACATCGTTATATCGGATAGTGTTTTTAGCGAGGTGCGCGTAAGAACTTTTCCCGAACATACAGTCTTACATACAGACCTACATCCATATGTAAATGCTTCTTAGCATATCCAAAAATAGCAACCAACATTGGCTACAACGAGTCGCCTTTTTTTATTTTTGCCTGCCTGTTTTTATTGGGTGTATTGCATAATGAATAAAATAGTTTAGAAAAGCAACAAACACTGGCGGCATATTACTTAAGAGCCTTCCGAGTGGGGGAAACGGAAACCGGTTCGGTTCAAATATCAAGTTTTATATAATACTTATCAAAATGCTCTGTTGAGGTAAATGTATTTTGGGTGGCTGACCTGTCAACTGTCGTCAGAGGCCAGTCAACTTCTCAGATCACTCGCCTTGCAGAACCCTTGGCATCCGATCAATTCGGTCTAACAATCAAGCGAAACGGAGCAGAATATCTGTCTAAAAAGTATGATTAAAGAGCTCATTGAACCAATAATCCAAATTTGCTTTAATAATTATGCGGAGATCACAGGCGCCACCAAAACAAAAAATGTACGCAAATTAAATGCGCCAGCAAAAATTATACAAATCATTCGATTTTAATGGGTCATTGCCGCGCTGCCAGAGTCGTTTCAGTTTCAGGAATAGCTTAATATCTCAAAATGCCCAAAAAAAATCGTTTTATTGTTCTTTGTTCTGCACAGGCAAGGCGGCGCCCAGTCCGTGTGTTGGCCAAAACAAATTTCAGACATAAAAAAAAACGAGATGAAAACAAAAAGTTTTTATAGTGCGCGTGTGCGTCGCTGATTGATGATTGCTTTTATGCCTTTGTCTTCGGCTCGTAGGTATCCAACACAAATCATTGATTTCATTGATTCAAAATGTGTATAAATACGTATATATACCTATGCATATGCATATATGTATAGAATTTCACAGTTATAGTTGTATCCATGCTGCCTCAATGGTATCAGAGCTGTTTAGCTCATATCTGTGGCTTAAGCGTTTTGCTGCGGCATCAATCAAAAGCGACCAGTGCTAATAATGTAATTAAATATGTAGATACGCAACGGACAACAGGCGGCAACGGTTACAAGCGACAGGGTACCGGGTACCAGGGTGCCAGGGTGCCAGGGTACAGGGTACACAGGGCTAGTTGTAGTGATAATCAGTGAATGATAAATGAAACTGAAACGGAACATAAAGCATAACTATGAAAATTAACTCGCGCTAAATGCGGCAGGGATTTTTCAACGTCTGGCAGTCCTTGCCCCTGTCTGCGGCCCTGTCCTGGCCACGACACGCTCAAGGTGAAGTCAACGCCTGGCCACAACGAAATGCAGTTAAGCACTTGTTAACATATTGTCGGCATTTGGCTCTGGTCTCTGGCCACTAGTCTCTGGTCTCCGCTGTCTGGTCTCGGGTATGGGGCCAGTTTCTACAGCAAGTTCGTTGCCTGAGTCTTTCGACACCGAGAGGCACAAAATTATTGCAAGCTGTTGACGTTTCGTTGTCAACATTATCTCCTCCATCTCAGGCCGCAGCCACAGTCACAGGCACAGTCACAGGCTCAGCATCAGCAGCAAGCACTTTGTTCTGTGTTCGTTTTATTGACGGACTAAGAATATGTAAATGTGGCTGTTGCGGAAACTGATCGACAGCTTTATGTGCAATTTGTCAGCGAAGGTAGTTCACAAATTTGCATAGCGCCTCCAGTTGCAGCCACAGAGCGGCACCGAGCCCCGTAATCACTCGGGCGTGATGCCCTGAACAGGGGCCATCCGCAGCTTGGATTTCCATATTGATACAAATGTAGCATAATTTGACAGCTGCGGTCAACTCAGAGTCTTCGGTTTTGAGTCTTACGATCATCGCTCATTGGCTATTTTTAGTCGACGTTCGAAGCCAGTCCCAGTCCCAGTGCCAGTGCCAGTCCCCGGCCCAATCTCTTTCCCAGACTCGAAGCCGGGGCAACCTTGGGAGCGTATTAAGATTAAGCTAAAGCAAACGCCGTGTTTAACATTCTGCCTTAAACACTTCTCGGCTTTTGTTGGCCAACAGCTGTATTGACATCTAGACCCATATTTGTGCGAACGGCAGCAAAGCGAAGCTGCAAATTATTTACCCACCGATCGGCGCTGGGCGCGTCAACTTGTCTGACTTTGAGTCTCGATCCGACTCTGACAGACACGTCCCGGCACTTGACCGGTCGGCGAGATGCCATGGTCAAGCTGCGACTCAGAATTGGAGAAGGGAAAGAGATAGAGACGGAAGCCCAAGCCAAGCCAAGTCCTGTCCGGAGCGGAGCTGAGCGGAACGGACCTAAATGCTATCACGTCTCTCGTGGGCAATCAGCGCCCATCGGCTCGACCATTATTATAATTATTAAAAATTATTAAGCGCGTGTAATTATTTAAATGAAATGGGTCAGCCTGCTCTGCTCTCCTCTGCCCTGCAACTGGCTACAATGGCAACGCCCCTCGCCAGGCAAGGACCCATTTCCGCAGCGCATTTCACGTGCGCCTTCTGTGGACCCAGCGTAATTAGCACCCTGCGGCAGTTCTGCTAAAGTCCAGCGATCCCATCCGCTGACACACTTCAAGCAAACGTCATGAGTCAGGCGCCGTAAGACCACGACTATTGATCAGCCAGTTAAAAGATATATTCCTCCTATATGCGGCGAGTATGTGTACAAAAAAAATCATCAAAATTGGCTAATGGCAATGCGCTGTCTTTTTAATTGACGCCTTTGAATAGCACGCGCCGCGTCGTTTTTTTCTTCTGTTTTTTGCTGTTTTTTGGTTTTTTGCATTTCATTTCGTGGATTTCGTGAATTTCGTGAATTTCGTGGATTTCGCTTAGATGTTTAGATGTTCTGTATTCTATTTTAATGGTCAAACATTATCGAAACCGGTCCGGGGTTAGCGGTTAGCGGCTTGCGGTTTGCTCTTCGCTCTTAGGAAAGTGATACGAATGTCTTGTGATGTGTGCGGGCAACCGGCTCGTTACATAAAGCAAATCGTGGACAATTCGGAGCACACGTATCGTATCTGCGGGCAAATAATTAAAATATGTAAAACAAAGGCAAGGCAGATGTAAATTTCCGAACCCCACTTGGGTTTTCTTCCACCTGAATCCGAATCGGATGAAATTTCGGCAAATATTAACTCAATTCAAACCGGCTGCGAGTCGCTTCCATAGTGTGGGGCAAAGCCTCGAAGAAATCTCCAAATTCAACATTTTAATGCAAACAAAAATAGAAATGATAACATTCTCCACGGCCCCCGATCGCTGACCGTGGCCTCATGCATATTCTCATATTCTACGCCGGCCCCTAATACTCGTAATTTATGCAAATCTCGACCTAATCATTTCAGCATCGGGCATCAGCACGGAAGAGAGATCAATCATCTTGCAGGAACACAATCGCCTAAGGCAGCTCGTGGCCACCGGACGCTACCCGGGCCAGCCAGGAGCGGAGAACATGCGCGAGATCGTCTGGGACGAGGAGCTGGCTGCAAGGGCACAGAAGTGGGCCGACAACTGTCAGTTCCGTCACGATCCGCATCGCACAATAAGTAAGTTGTCTGCTCCATAAGTCTGCTCCCTCTTTCCCCTCATCTCTTTCCCCACCCCCCACACCCGAACACGAGGAGATGGAACCCAACCCTTTATCGCATAGCATTAGGCGCGGATCTTTCGGTTTTGTGGTTTGCATGCGCAATGGTAATGCTCATTTTGATTGATTCTGCCACTAGCTAAGAGCAGTGGCGTTGTCTGAAGATATATCTCTGAGCCTAGTTCATAAGAGTCATCATCCTTTTCATACTCTGCCTGCACGTTTCGCTTTTAAAACACTAAAACTAACCCCAACTCACGGCCCAGCACCCGCATCCCCCACATCCACGTTGTCTGTCCTACCGGGCAGACCCACAGAAAAGGGGAGCTAGAGACTAATCTGTTTTCACGTGTACCGACAGATCGCTTTACCATGGGCCAGAACCTGGCCATTATCTGGAGCACGGCACCGCTGGACGCCGATGACGGTGACTTTCCCTCTCGCATCCAGAGCTGGTTCAACGAGGTGCAGAAGTACTCCTTCGGCGACGCCTGGTCCCCCAAAACGGGACACTACTCGCAGCTCGTCTGGGGCGAGACGAGCCTCGTGGGCTGCGGCTATGCTGAGTACAAGGATGCCAGCAAATACAACAAGCTCTACGTGTGCAACTACGGGCCAGGGTGAGTGTGAACACGATCCATTCCAGCCGAACTTGAGGTTATAATGTCATTCGATTTGTTCTTGCAGCGGCAACGTGGTGGGTTTCAATCCGTATGAGGTGGGGAAGCCCGCCTGCTCCACCTACGGCATGAAGCCCTCGTCGAAATATCAGGGTCTGTGCGCGGCCCCAGGAGCATCGCCGGCGGCAAGCAACAGCGTCTACGGAGGCAACACCATTGAAACGTATGAGTACAGCAACGGCAACAGCAACCCAAAGCACAATAACAACCAGCCGACTAACAACATTAACAAGAGCCAACCCACCTACAACCTCAACCGATTCTACAATAATCCCAAACACCCCTCTGCCAACCCACTGTCCACCTATCCCACCCACCCACAGGCAGCAGCGGCGGCAGCGACGTCCGGCGGCAGCTCGTTTGGCACCGCCTCGCGCGGCGGCAGCCACGCCTACACTACTGAGGCCAATCAACGGCAACGGCAGCCGGAGCCATCGGCGTTCCAGTCCGGCCGCTACAAGCATAAGCTGGAGGCGTACCGCCCCTCAGCAGCCGAGTTTGAGAAGTCCGTACACAAGCATACCATTCTACGCACCTTTATAGAGCAGACTCCGAGCCAGAATCGGCAGCAAACGGAGGCGGAGGCTGAGGCACAAGCGGTGGTGGATGCCGAGCAGGAGCAGACGGTGGCACCCAGCACACGGAAGCCGAGTCGCGGCTGGAGCCTGTTGACGTGGCGTGGCTGAAGACTGCCAGGGAGAAGAATGTCCCCCCTCATACTCGTATGCCGCACAATGTATTAGGCCCGCGCCTCCCCATTAATAGCTACTATGTAGTGCCATTAGAAAACCACTGAACCACCATCATCGATTCTGACCCCACCCATCACCCAACACCAATCGCCCCCTAGCCCTAGCCAATTGTAGGTTCTTATTTAAGCATGTACTCTATGCCCCACAATCACAATCACAGTCCAGACAACTGCCATGCGACACAGCCCTAATTCCTAGTGCTGTAACTGCTTCTGTAAATTATTTACTATATACTGAAAACTGAACGAATTTTGGCTGCCTGTAAGCTAACCAGAAGGCGTAGCAGGAGCAGGTCGACTCACCCAGACGAATGTTTGTATCAAATGTTTACTACCCACTTAACTGTCATTCTGTTAACCAATCGATCGGCATTCAACATCAATCAGCTAGTTGTAGTATTGTGTTCAAGCAAATAAAACAAGAAAATTGATTTGTAAATTTTTAATTTGTATTTTGAATATTGTCTGTGTCGTGCTTAGTACGCAATCAACAGACAAAGTCTGTTTGAATTGATGCCGGTTCAAAGCTGACTGCTACAACGTCTTGGCTCTTGCAAGCTCCAACGAGCTCCAAGTTCCACGTAAGAGCAGTGCAAAAGAGTACAGTGCGGCAGCTAAGAGAGCGCCGCTTTAGCTGCGCATGCGCTGGCGCTGAATGCTCTGCTGAATGAGAGTCTGCCCCTGGAGAGCTCACAGCTGGCATGTGGGTGGAAGTTTTGACGGGGGGTATGTGGCCGCCTTCAGCTGGTGCGACAAGTGCAGCAAGACCCACCCACACGCACAATTAAAACGACTGTTTGCCTGATGACAAAAGAGCAAAGCAAAGCAGGGAAGAGGGCGGAGCAGAAGCGGAGCAACAATCCAAATGTTGCTAATGAGCCTCAATGGCAATTGTATCTAATTTGTGTGCGCTGCCTGCGGAATTCAGCACGTGAGTGTGGGGGTGTGTGTGTGTGTGTGTGTGTGTGTGTGTGTGTGTGTGCTGGGAATCCTTGCACCAGCTCAAGGTCGTCCGTGCCATGTCGTCGTGTCATATCAGGTGCGCTCACGTCTTCCTGGCAGCTGAGTGCACAGGTGGAACCTTGGAAAAGTTTCCTTTCAGATAGCTTCTACCCCTTTGGCCAGAGCCTGCCCTCGCTGCCATCCGAATGTTACCAAAGTGCTTTTTGATAAGCATCCACAGAAGGGTAATCAAAGCTGTGACTTTCGCTGCCCGCTTATCAGCCATGAGGCGACAGTACTTCCGCTTTTAATTGTTCCGTTTGCCAGACCCTTGGCAATGACCCAACACACACACGCACACCCACCCACCCACACAGACATTGAGTGTCAATTTCGGTTGTGACATGGAATTAAGATAGGCAAATATTGCTGCCAATTGTTGTTCGGCCTCTATGACGGCCATAAAGAATACACTTGGAGAAAAACCCAACCAAATAGTATTTACTGGTGGACTACTTTTCCGGCATTTTTTTGAAGGGGTTTTTCATTTAAAGGATTTTAATTAAAGTTCACTTTTAATCATTAAATTTTTTATTGTATTCTAAAATTTATAATATAAATTTAGGGACTCCAATTTGGTTTCTATTCCATTTAAAATGGATACAGTCGTATTCTAGATTTTACAATTTTGTGTCTCTAAGTGTAGCCATACGGAAAAAGGGTGAACCTGCAGTTATGTTTATGTTCTATGTCACAATATGCTTTATTTATCTGTGCGCACACACACAATAGTCCTCGTATTGTAAAATGCCACAAAGGTCCTGGGAGCTTTTCCACTCGCTGCATACGCACTCCATCATCTCGGCCCACTCACGGAGCCTGGCAGCGTGAAATTAACTGACAGAGTCCGCTGTGTCTCCCCCTGTCCAGTCCAAACGCAACTTTTTATTTATACGCGCACCCAGCCATACATTTAAATATGACGCAGGTCCTGAGAGGCTGCAAGTGTCGTTTACTGTCAGGCCAAGAAGATGGCTTCTGGTTCTGATTCTGATTCTGGTGCTCGGTCTCTGACTGTGACTCTGAGTCGGACTTCGCGCTTGTCCAGCCTGATTTATGGCGATGGCCTGGCATATGTATGTGCATACATATGTATATATGTATTTATATAACAAAAACGTCAATTTGATGCAGCTGTCACACAGCCGGAAATGCAATCTGTGAGTTAAACGCATGAAAAACCCATTTCCATTCCCACTGCAATTCACATCGCCATTGCCGTCCCATTCGGCGCTGCAAGAAAAATAAAATTAAATGGCCGCATGTAATTAAGTCGCTTAATGTGCCTCAAATTGCCAGCTCGCCCGGAGTCAAAGTCTGTCCGGGGCTTATGAATTTCCACGCATTAATTTTATTTCCCTTCATTTTCGTACCCTTTATTTCGCACTCTTTTTTCCAGTCCTTTGTTGATCCCCACTGTGGCCGCTTTCCTCTGCCAAGTGTCATCTTTGATTGTTGCCAAAAAAAAAAGCAAAATAAAATGAGTGGAATGGGAGAGGGGAGAGCTCTGCAACTTGGGATAATTAGCGGCAAACTTGGGCCAGCATTTGGCTTACGAAAAGTATCCCTTAAAGTATGCAAAAGAAAAGAGTTTGATTACATTATAATAATTCCGTGGGGCTAAAGCGGTTTGGATTCTTTGTGGATATATTATTTATGTGACTCTCGGAAGTGACTTACGTCACTATTTTCGCATCTACTAGTTAATTTATCGGGCCAGAAAAATCCCTCTTTTAATATTTCCCTTATCGCCCGATCTGTGCATCATCCCTTGTGCGAATGCGATGTCATTTGCTGATCCTTTTTCCAATCTTCGCACGACGTCGCTCACCCAACTTTAACCTCCAATAAGATTGCCGACAATTCCGGGATCCAATTTGAATGGGATTAGGACTGCAGCTGCCTCTGGGGCGGATAGAATCATAAATGCCACGCCCCCAATGCTTGGCATGCCCCAGCCAGAGAAGAGAAATAAAAGCAATTGGAATGAAACAATAAAAATATCCACAAAACTACACATATAATACAATAATAAAATGGCAGAGAAAGAAAAAGCATATATTGGAAAAGTTTTTCAATTTCAGCAAAGCTTTTATTTCACATGCAAAGATCTCACACACTGCCACCTCGAGGCGCCTCTGCCGCATCCGTAGCCCCAGCTCCAGCTCCAGCCGGGACTGGGACTGGCACCATGCACCGCTATCTCCGCTGGGGCAGCCGCAGCCCAACCTACGAGTGTTTGTTGGGTAAGGGAGAAACCTCACAGACTCGCGCGTTCGCGTAGAAATACAAAATTAGAAATGGGAAACCCGGCAGCAAAACGCAAAATGTAAGCAATAAGCGAAAATGAAATGAAAACTCATGAATGGCCAACAAGCGAGAAGTCGGTGGCGACGGTAGCGGCGTCAGCGGAGGAAAACGAAATCAAACCGAAAAAGCATTTTGCGAGTATTATTGGTAGCTTGGCCACAAAACTCCCCGTATCCATGGCCCAATCCCCTGCCCATATCCTATTCCCCTCTCATTCCCAGTGCTCATTCGCCATCCCCCATTCTTCATTCCCATTTTCATTCCTTTCCCCATTGGCATTCGTTTTTGTATCCCATATGCAGTGGAAAGTGGAATTTTGCATGCCAGCCCGCGACCAGACGCAGTTGGCCATGAAATGGAAAACGAAGGGCAGACTGAGCTGAAAATGACCAAAAATCCGCCTGGCGTCCAAAATGGAATCAAAAGACCAAAACTTTCGCAGACGAAGCGTGCTATGGAGCCTTCAAAACGAGCGCTCCTTTATTTATGAACGTCTCTGCGGTGCTTAAACGCCGTGGTCCTTTCAGATTGTGCAAAAAAAAAAACACACACCTGCAAAAAAACTGCATTCATTCGCTGCTCTAACATGAACAGGGTACAGCCCACTAGCAGTACCTTGGCACTCTCATTAAATACACATTACGCTGGGATGGGGGCCGGGGTGGAAATCATTTTCAATTTTCAATTTGAGCATGGCCCCCAAATTGGCAACATGCGAATAATTCATGCGAAACACTTTGGCCAGCACAGACATCTCTTAGCCTAGCACCAGCAGACATCGACATGGACAATGCCATTAGCTCAAAATGGTCGGGAGGCATTGATGCATTGGTCTGCAGTCGCTTGATTGGGCCAGACAACTGTTGACTACGGCACCCCAAAGTGTTGCAATTGGCTCCTGGCTTCTCCTTTCCATACAAAGGGTTTGGACTGCTCTGGACTTGACATCTGGCAAATCTCGAGCCAATCTCCAACGCTGGCATTCGATGGATTCCATACAAGTAATTTCGTTGTTGACCAATCTCGGTTCCAAGAAATTCCCTTTTGCCTGCGCTATCCATAAGGGAATATTTATGGGGGTCGCGCAGCGTTGTAATAAAAATCCCTGCATGAATTTGCATATTTTGGGAGCACAAAAGGGGTAAATAAATATAGACCAAACTCAAAATAGTATAGCGGGAGAGAGAGCTGCGTTTGCCTTTGTTGAACTTTACGCGTCAAATTGTACATAAATCTTTATTTTTTTCTGTGCGGCTGGGAAGGGAAATATTTGCTTTAAAAAATGTCCTGCCCACATTCGGCAGTGTGTTGGATCGCGGGATCGCGTGGGTGGTGGGCTGGTATCGGATGAACTGTCTTTGAATGTGGCATTAGTCCCGGTATCGGCACCAGGCAACGCAGAATGGAAAGCAAACACGGAATGACAGCTTCGAACTGCCGTTAAATCAAACATAAAACCCTTCATGGTGCTCGGCAGCAACTGCCAGAGTTGCTCTCTGGCCCTCTCCTAGCAACGGCCACTAAACTGTACAAAGTCGACTTTATGGCCCATCAAAGCTGCACAGCAAGCTACCGCCATACCCACAGGTTGGCCGTGTTTGCTGGCCAGATTGGTTGGCCCCAGCCCCCAACCCACTCCCAGTTTAAGCTTCAATTCCAAACCAACTCTATACACCGGCCTGGTGCTAGTTCCATTTGGCTTGATTGCACAAAATATTGTTGCGGGTGTCCGTTTTCAATCTAAAATGTGTTCATCAAATCTACATAATTCGACCCACGTGGGGGCGAAGCGATGGCGAGCCAATCAGGTCCGGCAATGCCAATCAGCTCGCTTATTGTTGCTAATCAAAGGTCAGCCACAGAGCTGGTAACGAAACAGAGTTTTTGGGCTAGTTTTGCGGCCGGTCGGCATCCGTTTTCAGCGTTTTCATTGCTCATTTTGTGCTCCTCCCATGACATTCCATCATCATCCTCAACCACATCCGCATTCGCAACACGTAGTCCACGCATTTGTCGTCCGTTTATCAGTGCCTTGATTTGTTGAAGATTTATTAGATACAGCGGAGTGCAATTTTCAGCAGTGCGAGGAATGTGTTCCCGTGCGACTTTAAGCACTGCCATATATGC